ATTCTGTATTTTGAACAATTGCTCATTACTATGTAGCTTATTGAAGGAGAATATTTTCATTTCAGAATCTTTTGCAACAGATCTTGAACTATTTGCAAAGTAAGTTGGTTGTCATTCTTTCATTTTTTCTGGTATGATTCTTGGTTGGTTCAAATAAGCACTAATCTACTGATAGAGTTACCCAACTCAGGGGAAATCTGGAAGTGGAAGTTTCAACTTTTTCATCATCCCCAGTTACTAAATTTCACCAATCAATATACCCCTCTAAAAATACTTTTGATTGCATTGACCACACCCTTTCATGAGACATAAATGGTTATACGATTGGGGTGTTGCATGTAAGTAAACAGTTACAGCATCAAGAAGGGCTATTTTTTTTCTGCAAGGAAAAATGTACAAGATGCAAGAAAATCAGGTTAGCAGAAAAAGCCAAATGATTTTGGGTCATGTGATAATTTATGTATTTTTAAGGAACTGTTATGTTCCTAAGTATAAACTTTTATCTAGGGGGTTTGCTGACTGGTAATTATAAGACAGACTGAATTGCTCTTTGTTATGGAGAGTTGGTATATATGCTGATAACCATACTTGATCAATGAAACAATCTATATTTTGATTCTAGACATGGAAAAAGAAGCCAAATAAACTCTGATGACGTGCAGCTGCTTGCCAGAAAAAGTTCTACTTTGGTATGTACAAGATCACAGTTTGAGTAGCCAATCAGAGCCTACCTTCAAATTTATCCTCTGTTGTAGTATATTAAATACTCATTTAAAATATTCAAATACAGATAAGAAAGTACTGGTCTATTACACTTGTGGGAGTTTAAGGATTAACCTTTCATTGTGATTATTTTTTTTCCTTACTCAATTCACACGTTCCAGGCTACTCATATGGAAGGGATGAGCAAAGAACTGGCAGAAGCACATGAAGCTAATAAGGCTTATAAGAAAACTAGAAAAGTAAAGAAGACTAAACCAGCCCAGGAGTGCAATGAAGCTCTTGAAATTGAAGATAATCAATAGTATGGGAATATCTTTGAAGAAGACTTTGGAGTCATGCTGTAAAGAATTTGAACAGCTGCTTATAAATATATTAAATGAAGACTTTGAACAAAGAGCCAAGAGAGTTTTAAATGATTGTTGCTCAAGGGGACACTATAAATAACACAATAGTCTGTGAGATTGGAAATTACATTGTTTAACTCCCTGTTAAAAGGAAAAACCATCCTTACCACTTTGAATCACTAAAAGTTTTGTTATGGGATATAATGTTGCTGATTGTCATAAGTATTTAAGAGACACTTTATGACACATCTAATGAGGTTTACACTCTAGAAAATGTGTATCATTTTTAGTATTCATGTGTCAATAAAATGTCAACAGTGATGTGTGGAAGGGCAGTCATTGTATCTGAACAATACACCCTTATCATGGGAAGTGTTATAAAATATCCACTAACGAACTTGTTTAAGTCGCGTGTTGAGGAATTGCACATGAACGGAAGAGTAAAATCTTTTAATTTTTTACCAAATATTCAAACATAATTGACAGTGTAGCACTGGGTGTGAAAGTTAATATTTACAAAACATTATGTCACGTTCTTCCTGTGCCGTTTATGAATAAGATTCAACTTGAAAAGCAATTTGTTTAAATTATAATTCACGCACGAACTGGCATTCAAACACGCGAAAGAGACGTTGCCAACCTGAGGAAAACAAACAACGTACAAAAATATGGAACTATTTACACTCGCAATGTCGTTTGGATCGTATGACCCACAAACTTATAGCTTATCATACAAACGACACTTTTTAAAAAGTTAAAGGCGAAGAAACACGATATGTAATTTGACTAAACCGTTAACCAAAATGAAACGGAAGCAAATAGCTAAAAATCTGAAATTTTTCGAAAACCAGGCGAGAAAAACGTTCTTTTTTATGACACTCACGGCTTGTTCGACTCTACGTAAAGAAGTTTAATAGTTCAAAGCGCACATGAGAGCCACACCCCTTTTGATCCAGTGGCGCTGCAGCTGACTGCTTGGCAATTCAATTGGAAGAACAAAATTTGTGGAATGGCCTGTTGTGGATAGTGTACCTTTAAAATTAAGAAAAGATTGTCAAAATTAATACATAACTTACTTGTCATTATTCTAAAGCGGAGAATTTGTCAAAGGAGCTAGGTCATTGGCCATGTCATGGTGTTGTAACGTCATTGAAGTTGGTGATTGTTTCACTGAAACAGAGAGACCACTGCTCTCAAAAATTAGAGATCGCTGCTCTTCGTTTACGTATGAACGATAAATTTCACGTACCAGCTCTGGTCAACGTTTTGTACACTGGGCAGTCATAGATACCCTTGCTCGGCTTCTCTCGGTTCGCCGTTGGTTTCAACCAAATGATCGGCATGTCGGTGTACAACTCCTTCGGTCGGGATTCGGTCAATTCGTGTTTGTCGTAGTCCCATCGAGCACCTTCGAGGAAGAGACCCCGAATGAAGCATCCGTCATTGGGGCGAGAGGTTAACTCTGCTTCGGTTTTCTTCATAACCTAGAGAGAGATGAAATGTCAGCCTAGTGAAAAATTAGTTCTTAATACGAAAAAGAAGTCATGGCTTTTTTGGAGAGTAACATCTTGATAAACAGGCCTACCTCAAAGTCGAATGTGATCACATCAATTGAGATCGAAGAAGATCTCGCAAAGTTCTGCAAAGTTCCGGTTAAAAATCCTTGAGGGAAGAAGAAACCTGATATCCAAAAAACCTGCCAAGAAAACAGAGCCATTAGCAAAGGTAACACAATGTCACTAAAAGTTCTGCATAGAGTAATTAAAACTTACTGGAGGTATTCCATGTTCAATCCACTTATCAATGAATTGAACTCGAGCCACCAAATCAGTTACCCAGGACGCCAGCGGTTTTAAAGACGGATAGGCCTAAAAACGAACGGAGAGTAAGCTAGATTAAACACACGGAACTCACACAACTGATAATTACACATCCTTTCATGATAACTTTCTGACAGGAAGTGAGTGTAAAATATAAAAAGATACGGACGTTAAACAGAACAAAGCACTAATTTCACTCCATACAAACTTCTAACTCAACAAAAGATTTATCAAACCTATGAAGATACCAATTTTTTTGCATACCTTACTGGCCCATAATTCCGGTACAGAGTTAATATAGATACTGTTTGCCATTGTCTCCAGAGCCTGTGACATCACCACCAGACCCTTGAGTGCTTTAAGCAGATCGTTTAATGTCTGTCTGACAGTCTCTAACAGTTTGTTGTAACGAATCACTTCTTGGATTAACACCGTGTTCATCGACTCCTCGTACCGCACAGGGTGTTTTTCCATCACCATGGAAACCGAAATAGGTTGAGGTACCTTCTCTAGAATACTGCGGCCAGCCTCTTCCATCACCTAAACATAAAAAACGTGATAAATTTCAATCCAGCTGGGTGTCTTAAAAGACAAGCAAACTGATTCCGTAGTTTGTAATTTTTTTTTTTGTAATACCATGTATGAAGGTACAGCATATACCTCCAACTATACCATTGTTTTCAATTTTTAGAAGAAGAAGAAGAAGAAGAAGAAGTAAAGGAAGAAGAAGAAGAAGATGCTTTTATTTGGTTAGGGTAACTCCTACAGTTACAAAAACTGATATCATTAGAGGCCCTAAGAGAGCTAGATGAAAACTTGTAAAATGACCAATTTAAGGCCGTCTCTGAGCACTTAATATTCAGTGGTTTTCATTTTCGACCGCCACCGAGGTTGGGAGAAGATCCTATTACACACAAACCTCTTCACGCGACCTTCCCGCCCCAGATGACGCACGTGGCTGCATCTTGAGTATTCCTTGAAGTAAACTGAACGTCTCGTTCTGAGCAAAAGTGATGTTGGCGTTGTCATGAAGAGCAAATATCTCTGGAGTATCGTTGATTGGTAAACCACGAATGTATCGAAGATAATGCTGACAAGAAATGAAGCGTAGTAACAAGTAGAAGAGTGAGTCCACCGTGTCTTTCCAAAAATATTTCATAACGTACAAAAAAAATGGATGAGACTGGTATCATATATCGCTATCAGATTAATAAATTTAATAAAGTATCGATGTAATTCGCTTAAACTTTTCTCTCACACCAGTAGGAGTTGCCTCATTCAACTTGACAACGATGAAACAAACCAGGGATATACGTAAAAGAGGAAACCAAAACGTTACATAAATTACTCTGCAATCGGTGCCCTGGCGGATTTAAAGTGAGTTATTTGTTCCTTAAACAACCTTGGGACTTTTAATATCCTCTATAACTGCTTCCACCCACTCCCTATGGTACACCATCATTTAGTAACCATCAGAATCAAGTGAAAAGTCTTTCATTTGTCAAATGGATGCTCTCACTCTGAGTTGGGTCATTCTGTTCGGTCCGTTTGGAAAGATTTTAAAAGTTGTATATGGCAAAAATCAAACTTGGCCACACCACTGAAAATACCTCGTGATCAGATGTTAGAGGAAGCTGGAGATAAATTCCAGATTCGGAGAACTTGTGCTCACTGCTGAGCACGTCAGGTGAGTAGAAATCATTTAAGATGTTCATTATACACCGGCGATCCCAGTCATCGGTAACACGACCGCCATAATTGATGTGTCCAGCAGTATATTTTAGAACCTGAAAAAAGTCACGACAAAAGCAAATGAAACAAATACTTGAGATATTTATAGGTAATAACATGATTTCGAGTGCAATTTGATGTAATATGCTGGAGTAAAATTTTCAAAGACAACAAAATTGTAGTCTTTGAAAAATTGACAAGTGCTCATTTACACCAAATTGCTCGAGAAATCATGTCACTTGATAATTATTTGAACGAAAAAGCACCGCAGAAAGTACAGACAAACGAAATTTTGGTAGCGCGCGCGCTATTTGTAATTTGCATTCGTGTTACAACTTTGCACTCGTGTTACATGAAAAATGCATTCGTTTTCAGCCAATGAGACGCGCGTAATTTTTTTGTGTATATCATTAAGGCGTAGACAGTCATTAAAAAAAACACAGGCGCCTAGAATGAATTAGGGTTCCGCTGGAAACTAACGCCTATATTTCTGATGAACTTTTAAACATAAAGGCAGTTTAAGAGATGTATGACTTCTATATCCGATTTGCATTGCACAGTGGCCCACTACAAAAAGTCCTTCCAAAATGACCGTTTTAAGCTCATTTTACGGTCCCGGGTGTAAGGTGCATGATTGTAAACATAACTTTTGAAACTAGACCTGGATCGTTTTTAATTCACTGAATGAGTCTTATCGAAGAGACACTTCCGACATCAAAAGAACTTGATATACCACATCAGTATAGTTTGACTGATTTAAAGATGTTGGAGATGGCTAATGAATTATTTACGTTAAGGAATAGGTGAAATGATTTACCTTGAAAGGTATTTCCTCTTCGTACTCCTCTAAGAACATGCTCAGCTGACTTATACAAATCCTTAAGTCTCCAGTGGTAAACTCGTACGGGATGTTAAAACCCAGAGCACCAAATTTCCTTCTCTCCAAGGTGACCCCATGGAAAAGACACAGCGAGAAAAGAAGGAACTTGAATTCTTCCTGAATATGGATCAAGGAAAAAAAGTTTCAATTGTGTTAGAGGGTATTAGTTTAGCAAATGAAGTTACAGTAATGAGTACGTTTTTTTCAATCTAACCCTTTTGCAACTTGCATAGAACTCGTCACTAAATCCCGTGAAAGATCTCAATAAGTTGGCTTTAATCCCCCGCGGAGGTTCCACGGTCATTTTTGAACCATTCTGTAGAATAGAGACTGGAAACTTGGGACTTGGCATGCTGGTTAACCACAGGCGGAAGTCACGGTGCACCTGTTCGGAGACATACGAAATAATACTAGTCTTAGTAAACTGGGGAGCGACAGAACTTTCTGATGTTAGTTCAGAAAATCTTAATAGCTGCTAACCTTGTCTGGATCGATATTCTCCACGAGTCTTTCAAGACTGGGCATAAAGCTTGGGGCTAAATGACAGTTCTGAAAAAATACCCACTTTCCGCGCTCCATGGCCGAGCGCATCATAGCTTCTGCGCGAGGACCCTGTAAAGAAAAAGAGAAGTGCAAGTCTGAGTATAAAAAAGCTACTCATTATAACGTAATTGCCATTCTAAATAGTGACTTTGTATATTTTTTTCGGTTTTGCCAACATCCGAGCAGGTGGTAACATGTAACCAGTAGACAATTCATCTTCTTATCATATGCACAAATTTCAACTTATCGAGGCGAATTTAAGTCACAAAAGCGTGTAAAACAATCTTCTGGCACTGAAAATTGCATAGGTGACTTAATGTTTTACCCCTTTCAATCTATGGCTTAAAACGTAACTTCGTGCAAAGGACATTTTATTCTTCACATTTGAAGGGAAAAGCACCTGAAGATGAAGTTGTTAAAAGAGTAAGATTCAAATCATTCGAAGAGTAGTAAAAGCTGACCACTCACCTGACCCTGGCCGAGAGAAATTGCACTAAGCTTCTTTGAAAACCTCATTTCTTCAGCAAATTTATACAGGTCTGCGGCTGGGTCAGTTCCAACTGACAACACGAAGATGAGTGGAGTGGTAGGAGACGAGTCTTTAAACACAAGAGACAAATCCGTCGTCTAAAAAACAAAAGTTTGTAGGAATTCTAAAGTTTGTCTTGCAGTTGAGGAAAATCAGATTTACGTTCATTTTAAGTTATAACTTCTAGATGACAGCATTTTTTTTTAGGATAAACTGACCACGCCGTCAACACAAAGGTATCAAAAGTTACCTGGGGTTCAATGAACCGCTGGCCAAGATTTTCAGAAACAAAATCCTGTAAGAAAGTAAAACAATCAGTCAGTCTTATAAAGGGCAAAATGACATGTTTAAAACACCACACTTCAATGTATTTTTTAATTCTTGTACCTGCATTGCATTAGTAACTTTGTCAGCTCTCAAGCATTTCAACGCAAGAAGCTTCTGGAACGAATCCAGGTCAGTGTTCCACGGTTCAGGCAACGGCTCACTGTGGGGATTAGAAATAAAACATTCAACTAAGTATGATTAGATGATGAAAAAGAAATGATGACCTACTTTTTTTAAAAGGATGATAGACCCGTAAAACCAAAGCAAAAACGAACATACAAACCGAAAAACCAACAAATTAACGAAGACTAAAAGGAAAGAGAGAGATAAAGAAAGCAAAGTCTTAACAGTATCAAATATTGTCCCTTCTGTTTCAATTCAATCCATTTTCTTTTCAGTGATAATTGAAAAGTGATTCGTGAATAAATAACTAACCGGTGTGGGTCAGCACTGTCAAACATTCTTCGAAATCCCTCTATGTGATTCTTGAAGTCTTCAGCAAAATTGGCAAACTTAGGCTGAAATAGATAAAGAAGCAACAACAGTTATTAAATGAAGAGCTAAAATTAAGCAACCATGCCTTTTTTTACAAAACTTACATTATCCAGCAAAAAAGGTTAACCAGTTAAAATGTCAATCGAAATCCTTATGATCCGCAGCGAGGGTGAAAATTAAGCAGATACACTGGCAATTCATAGACACGATTTTCTTTTTGTTGTGAACCTCAACCATTCCAGTTAGCGTACGATCGTTCGAGCAGAATGAAGACTTGTCTTCAAGGAGAGACGTCACGGTTTGACCATTATAAAACCTTGGCTTAAAAATTTGTCAAGCTCTTAATGAGCAATCAGAGTTGATCTTCGCTATCGTACAAAAATTAGTTTCTTCTTGGGTCATCGCTTTTCTTCTTCTTTTTTTTTTTTTGTCTTCACTACGGAGTAAATATTTCGAGGTTCCACTAAAAGATGAAAATGACCTCTATGCGCCCATATCAATGTCACGTGCGATATTTCATTCTGAATATGACTTACCAACACTGGAAGTCGAAGTATTTCGGACCAGGCCCGGTCTGACAGCCAGTCCTGGGCGGGGTTCTCAATCTCCTTGGGAATAGCAGAGCCACCAGCCAATAGGAAACGCCACTCATCCTGAAAGAGAAAAGTATGTCAGCTTTAAAAAAGAAAAGATTTTCAAAAAGTAAACAGATACTGAAAGGTAAAGGTATCAGTGCTCACCATGTTAATCTTATTGTCGTTCATCAGGATTCTGACGCACACGAGGAATGAGAATAAAAGTTTGTCTTTTTCGAACAAACTGCGACACACGTTAGAGTACAAGCTGAATGTGAAATAGTCGTTGATGTTTACGATACGCTTTTCCAAGTTATCTGTAAAGAAGATAAAACCAACAGAAAAATTGTCATGTACTAAACGACCATAAAAAGAAATATGTACAAAAGCTTGACACGCAGTTACCCTAAAAGTTTCAGAGAAAAAATCAAACTACATACCTGACGCTTCAGCGTTTGCTATACTGTTAAGAAAGATGCGGATAAACCACTCCAAAGAGTACTGGTACATAGGGTCTATGTTAGCCTGGAAAATAAATGAAAATAAAGCTTAAAAAGCAGTGCTATCGGGGAGATTAGTTTGACAGGTCCTTTCTTTTCAATTTTCACTAAGTGAATCAACCCCTTAAGCAACCCTGTACATATATTAATTTCCGGTAGAGGATGCGATAGGATATTCTTGGTGATAGACTTAAAGGTGGCAGTCACGTGATCTCCGGGTCATCTAGAAATGTAAAAGGAAATACTTACCAAGTCATAAGTACAGAAGAAGAGTATCTGAGTTCTGACAGCTACAGGGATGTATTGACTACGTGTCTCGTCAATATCTTTTTCAGTCTGTTCTGCAATCACCACTTTAGCCTGAAACGGCGGACATAGTTTCACTTACCAATGTAGTGAAGACTAAAAAGAATCTCAATATAAATAATAGTACAGTATTGACGCGGTCTTACGTTTGAAGTTTTCAACATCAGTTACGTGGCAAATAAAAACTGGCTCGCTTAGACAGTTGACAGATGCTGCCTGCGTGCAATGGGAAAGACGATGAGCCAATCAACTGATTTGCTACCAAGGCCGGAGTGAGTGTTATTAACACCATCTTTCGTTCTCCTAATTCCTAAATCCCCCTAAGACGCAAACAATACTCAGCAATAAATCTTGCAAATTATCCCTTGCGCACAAGCGTAATTTTGTGACAAAGGGTTAAGTTTGTATATCTTCTGACTACCGCACACCGACATCTCCTTCCACAGGTCGCAGACACCGCTGATTTAAAGGGATCTGGAACTTTTCTCATTATCAATTAAATACTTTTTAAAGCAGGACAAAGAACACAGAGCAGAAGTTTCCCCATTTACCTTGATTTCCATGGACTTGGCTTTAGACTGTTCCAGTGTATGAATCAAATCAATGTCATCCACAGGGCTGCCTTCAGATGCCGATAGTTTGTGGAGAATCTTATCTTCAATCTCTTTGAGCTCTTGTTTCATTTTTGCATTGCTGACAATCAACTGATTTTTGGCTTCTTCCAAGTCAGGCCTCTCCTCAGCAACCACCAGAGCTAAAAGCTGATCTTCAAGACCGCTATAAAACGAAAAAAAAACTGACAGTTAGTTACAAGTATTATGAGAATCGGCTCAAGAGAGAAACAGGACCTGCATAACAATATAATGCTTATTCTTCGTAGCCCACAGTAAGAAATTAATTTAGATACAGCATGAAAGTTGCCGATATGAAGAGCGGAATGAATGCAAGTATGAGGAGCGTCAAAAAAACCAAAATCGCAGTAATTACAGTAACCAATCAGAACAAACCTTAATATCACAAGGGAAAAAAGTGAGTACCCAAGGTGAAAACAAGCAAACTAGGTGTGGTAAGGAAAATGATTCAGCAGGATATGATAAGCTTCAGTTTGCAGCAGATCGGTTATTAGGAAGGAGGAGGATAAAAACCTAGGGAAGTAGGTACCGTATTCGACACTTAGTTGAAAATTGCTCAATAAGAAACAATGTTACTCAATTACTGTTAAACACAATTATTTTTTTCTTCTTATTATTATTCGCTTGTTTTTCGCGTTTGTATAACATATCGACTATGTTCGTTTTATCTGACTTGACAAAAGCGATTTTAGTGACCACTACCATTCTACCTACCCTGGTGAAAGAGTGAAGTTGACAATAGTGACCTTTGTGGACACTTCAGGAGTGTAGTGTGGGTTAGGAAGCTTTGTAGTAATGTAAAACTTAAAGTCATCGTGATAAGGGATGATGGCGTCTCCGAGCTTGATCACTGTACTACCTGACTGCTTGAATGTCTGAAACACAAAAATGTTTCACCATATGAGCAATCGGTATTGGTTGAGTTTTAAAATTCTTTTATGGTTTATATTTGAGCATATTTTAAAGGATACTCAAAGAGCAGTAAAAGAAGAGAGAATCATAATAACCTTTGGTCACAATAGGGGGATTAAGGAGAAATCTTAGTTTCCGAAGGATACGAATCATGGATCTTTCGATCTCGTGGACGGATGCTGTACATTGAAAATGAGCTACAGAAGACTCGTTTTTTATTTAGGCCATACACAAGCGAGTCAGAGGTTCACAACTAAAATTTTATCTAACACTGAGCTGTAAAGAAGGTTCATGTAACGGATAAGGGCTATATTACAAAGCGGCAACTTTAGATGGCGAATGAATCTCCTTTGAACCTCCCAGAAATTGAAATTTTCATTTTGAGCAGTGTTCAGAGCTCTACCTTTTAAATTAATCTACAATCATTTCCTTACTTGTTTTAGCAATATAGGTTCTAAAGCTGGATCCAGTTCTTCTCCAACATTTTCTAACAGGCACGGTTTACCGAAACGCACAGCGTTTTCTAAGCTTCGTAAAAAATCTCGGTCGCTGAGTTTGATTACGTCAAGACCGGCGTCTTTTTCCTACAGGAACCAAAATCAAAAGTTATGAAAACAAAGTAGGAAATGGATTTAACCTAATAAGCAAACCTATTCAGTGATATGAATTGTCTCTAGCAAGAATGAAAAGGCACTTCTTAATAAGAAAAGCAAATAAGCCATCAAAATACACGCAAATGAACAAGTGATAAATCAGAGCGAAGTTGGCAGCCGAGATAACAAATTATAAAACCCTTAAACTGACGGAAAACATGTCCGGAAAATAAATTGGTTTTCGCATAATCTGTGGAGTTGGTAAATAGAGATTACTCCGTGGAAAGTGCACACGAACGATTTTTATTCACGAGTTGAAGTGCATCAAAAAAACGAACGAGTGAGTTTTTTTGATGCATCGCAGCGAGTATTTGATACATGCCGAGATATTTTCTTATTACTGACCGACATATTTCAAAGATTGGAAGCGCAATGACTGTGAAAATGTATTGTTCGTATAATCAGAGACACGAACGATAGTACTTCACAACGTAAATCTTAGTATGCATGAAATAAAGTACTTTTCCACATTGTGAGAGGCTTACAATCTCGTCAATTCAAAACTATTATATTTCATCCTTGGTCTAAAATTGGGCTGTTCCTTAATAACTAGCCATTACCATCTTAAAATTGCGGCCTAATTTCAATCTAAGTGAGATTTCCAACAAAGTGACATATGAACCGTCGATCATTTATCAATGCAGTTGTCAAAACCTGGTTAGCTCATGAACTTACTAAGCTTTTAATCCACTTGTTAGCCTGCCCCTGAGGGTCAATAAACAGTGGCCACCTCTGAGAGAACTGCACAATAACACCATTCTCCACAGACAGCGTGTCACGGGGCAAACCAGCAATCTGCCAGTTGCGAATCTTTACAGGATCTCCAAGTGTTGGCACGAGTGAACAGTTGTCTGAGTGAGGGATTTCCAGACCACGTAATTCTCTTAACCATTCCTCAACCATTGACACGCGGTATTCGCCCTGAGATAGGAGAGACTAATTTTGTCAAGTCTACGCGGATCGTAAGGGTATATTTTTTCTCGCCCGTCACGTGATCGAAATGGCTGGGTCCTCTTTATCATAACATTATCGTAATGATGATAATAAAATCGATGACCACACCAAAGCCAATGGCAAAGATGATAATAATGATGACAACAAAAATGAAAGTTACAACGACAGTGACAACAATAACGATAATGATAATGATAATAAGATGAAAAAAATGATAAGGATTAACACTATGCCGACGACAATGACAATGACGGCAATGATAACGAGAACGATAATGACGATGATAATGACGATGATAATGACGATGATAATGATAATTATTAACCACAATTATAAAATATTCTTCGTTTACTATAGCCGATTGCTAGTGTTAAGGACAACACAAAAAATAATAAGACATGAAAAGGAAGGAGGCAGACCAGTGAGATTTTGGTAAGGCAGAGCTAATGGGTAAACTTGGGGCCCACGGAAAACAAATACAGTGTAGGGGCTTGAACCTGTGACCACCGAAATACAGGATCAACACCTTACCACTCGGTCACGCTGAACCTTTTGAATAGCAATATTCCCGTTTACGTTACACTCGATGTTCTTCCTAAATTAAATTTTCTCGACGAACCGATTGCTTTCTACGGAACACAACAATACAGAACGTTAGTAAAACCATAACTTAACCGCTCCCCCTGAGAGACAAAGCTGCAGGAAACGTAGGGAAAATATTGAATCAATAATTACGCCACCAGAAATGGGTGTTATATATTTTATGATCTCAAACGTCTTTTCAAATTAAAGAAAATGAGAGAAGCAAGTCATAATCGGTCTTGCAGGTGGATAGCTTGAGTAAATGCGAATGAAAGGGCTTGTTTAGCTCAACTTTCAAAAATCCCCCAATAGAGGCAAAAAAAGATACTGTTGTCAAGATGAAATTTAACGGTTAAAAAAAAGGGAGACGATTTTTGGACACGTTCTACATCTGTTAAAAGTCACCCTACTCACTTTTGAGAAAGAAAAAATTTTATCAAATGCTTGTCCATGTTGTACTAATTAGGAGCTAATGACCCAATGACGCCTGCCCGAGGATATATAGCAAACAGACCAAAGGGCACAATGTCAATGATTATGACTTGAGCATTATGGTAAACAACAGACTTCTCAACAGGTCACTTTCGCTTAAAAATGGCAATCATTTTCCTCTCCTGATGACCATTTACAGATGAATAGATGCGAGATTTATTGTATACAGTACGGAACTCAATTTATCAAAGTACGACAAAAAGCAGTTTAAAGATAATTTTACTTGCAAATACAAATAAGTATTTATTTTAGGAACAATTCAGAGCACGTACCCATCTTATTCAGCAAAGCTGCGTCCAAAATTTCGTGAAAAAGTCAAGAAATTGACTCTTTATGACGAATTTTTCTCAAATTGAGTTCTAAATCTGGGTGGCTAATCCCAATTTTATGTCACCAAACTGCAGCTGCTCGCAAATTTAGCTCGTTATACAGTGTACTCAAATTGCAAGAAAAAAATTAAAGTGGCGCTCAACCGACAACAAAAAATTGTACTTATCCTTTATTGAGCTCCAGTGAATCCAGCAAAAAATAAAATCAATCAAACCTTGCAGATATTACTGCGGCACTAACGGATGACAAAAATATACTTAGAGGTTTGTTCAACTTCGAAAGTCTGGCCGGGACGGCATGAAAATGAGTGTTCAGCAAAGGGACAAAAGTTTTAATATTTTTCGGTTTCCTAGCAATTAAAACGAGGGCCAACCATTTGTGATCTCGATTAAACACAAACAAGGCAAGCGGTTTGAGAGCTTTTAGCTGGGGAAAGAATTTTGATCTTCTTCCCACAAGCCTCACCTGTGGCCAAAATGAGAAAAACTTACTTCAATAAGACCTTCACAGCCTAAATAGAGCATGACCTGAAGGTAGATTCAAATGTTTAAGTTTTGCGACTACTTGAAGGAGATTGCTTGTTGGTCACTCCACAAGGACTTTCTCGTCATGAACTGAACGACTAGTCAGTGTTATCGCACGCATTATTCAGAGAAATCATTCAATCAATTTGCCCACACTTGACGTATTCACAGATGCTGTTAGTTCCTTTACATATTTTTCCTTGAAAGAAAGGATTCCACACCAAAAGCCATTTTTGTCTCTAAAGAGACTATAAGAATCTTTCATTCAAAGATGGGAAGCTTATTACCTTCAGCTGGCTTAGACGGTACCATGGTGGTGAGCTGTTGTGTTACGTAACGAAGATTGCTTTACAGTTTTTTTTTAGAGTACCATGGAACCGGCTCGCAAGCTGTTCATTGCTACACGCGAATTTCCCCCTTCTTTGAACAAGTATTTATTCTTTCTTCACCAGTTTTGATGCCGTTTGTGAAATTATTTGTCAGTGAAATCGTTCCAATCGTTCAGTCAGGCGGATTCCACGATTGACGTGGCAGTATTGCCCATGCTTACTGTGTTTGCAGGGGCTATTTCTTGGTTTCCTTTACGCCATCGCAGAATCTTTATAAACGCTTTTCGGAAGTTCGGTAAACGCCAGGCGTAAATGAAAGGATTCAACGCCGAGGAACACAGTACAAAGATGAACTGCATATCACGACAAATGTGGATTGTGTAACAACTGCACGACGAGCACAGATTCATAAGGTATATCATAACCAGCGATGGCGTATAACAACACAAAAATAGCCCCAACATAACAACAAACACCTGTGTGATATTCCTCTCAAAAGCCGCAGCTCTAATTTTTGCTCGGTTTTCTTCTGTTTGCGAACTGTCCCGCAGTATATTCCACTCCATAACCTGAGCTCTCATACTTTTTAAGGATCCAACATATGTCGCGAGAAATATGATCAAAGTAAACGCTATGGCCGTGTTTGCGAAGACAAATGTATAAAGCAAATACCCGACTTCGAAGTAAATAAAAGGCAAAGCGAACGAGACCAGCCAAATAACAGCCGCGATTATACAGGCGCGTGTGATGGTGAGTCGTGCTCGATACTGCAACGGATGACTTATCGCTGTGAAGCGATCAACTGTCAGGGCTGCGAGATTCAGTACGGATGCGGTACAAGAGATGAAGTAGGACATGTGGATAGACCACACGTTATTCAACTTCAGGGAAAATCCCTCGCGAAAATGCATGTATATCGATAACGGCTCCACCACCATGCCCACGATCAGATCTGAAATGGCCAGATTTATCACAAAGAAAGTGAATGGCGTCCTCAAGCATTTGTAGGGGTCTTTCCACACCGCCAAGCAAACTAAAAAGTTACCTGGTATGGTGAGTAGAGCGAGACCTAGAGAGAGAGCTGCTGTTATGAATGGAAGGGTATCAGGTGCTGGTACCCCATCGCAGGAATTCCCTCCAAAAGTCATCTCTGAAAACTCGATCGGACATCAAAGACGTGCGATTAAGCCTTACAATCCAATGTGTCTTCAATTAGATCTTAACTATGATGGTCTTCGACGACTCTTTCAGGAAAAAAAGGGATTAAATTTGATTGATGACTATCAAACTGTTCAGCTTTTAGATCCAGCCCCTGCTTGGGCCTGACTTCCACTGTGCAGTTTAACCTTACCGCTCCTATCTTTGGCACTGAATAACGATGCAACACTGGCTTTAAATAGAACGTGCTGACGACGTGCCAGATTGAAAGCCTGATAGTTTGCCTAGGAGCATAGAGAAACCACAAGCACAGGCAGCTGTTCAAAGAGTGTCATTTGCACTTCAATATGAGTTGAATAGATGACGCTTTTCAATTTGTTAGTCAGTTTCCAACAACAGCGCGATCAAGCTTCTTAACGTGAAATCATTATGAATATTGCAACAATGGCTTATAAATAAAATAAATCTGACAATTCTGAATTTGAAACTCAGCTATCTTCAAACGGTCTTGTGCAAGAGGAAAGTTTCACATGCTTCTGTCAATAAATTGATGAATTGCGGCAATTCACCGCCGTCACTTTATCCTAATGTGGCTGACAAGCTTAGTTGCATTCTCACCTCGTCGGAAATGGAATCTTGATTAAAAATCCGGTTAGAATTAAACCTTCTGTCAAACATACAAAACTTTGGGAAAAGCCTCGAGTACTGCTAAGCACCCTTGATAAAGAAGAAACCTGAATACATAAGAATTCTAATCTCAATATACAGCTAGCATTTTGATTAGAGCCTTCGAAGTTTTCTATTTTTAGGAAAATTTTATCTACTTCAAACAGTAAACAGCCACAGACCGGTGCAATAACTGCAAAATCTGAAAGCAAATATCATGGTCTGTGACACTTCCCGCTAAAAATCGATAAAACAGAGCTGATAGGAATCAACTTCAAGTGGAGTTTTTTAATATCTAAAGCTTAACAAGCCTTTCATTTTCTCAACTATCATCATGAAAGGAAGACATGAGCTATCAAAACCTGAATCATTTAATTTCGGCGAACGTGAGATCAAAGAATAAACACTACGAAGGCTTTCAAGAACAGAAAACGCCTTCAGGCATCGAAACACTATTTGCACTGATGTGAATTGAGAATTATGTAATTAAAAGGAGGAAAGGTTTACTGAAGATGAAATGAAAATGGGTAAGATAGCAATTTAGTCGACATCGTGATTCTTTACTACTTTGCATTTAGTTTCTGACCCTTTTTAATTCAGCCTAAATTTGAAAAAATTTACTGCAAGTTATCCAAGAAAACAGAGGCAGCTCGGAAAATCTGCAAGTGTGTAGGAGTTATGTACGAAAATATAACACTTCAGAGTGATTAAAACACAATTACCGTTCGTTATGTAGGTTGAACTGTCAGCACTGTAATAGAGCAAATTCGATCACTCCTAATAGATGTTTCCCTCAGCTTCTGAGTTTTCATGAACTGCGGGAGTCTACTGAATCGTCAAATTAGCAGGAAGTGTTCAACCCAAAAGCTTTTACGATAGACAAAACAAAAAGCCATTTTCTTTAGAAGAAAAAACTTTTTATTAACGCTTCCCCATGAGATGAATTTGACTGTCTCTTTCCGAGAGTCTGATTATCCCAGGATGAACCGAACCGGTTATCTATGTTTCTAATTTCGTTACCTGCGGATTAGTTTATGTAAAATTCAGGATAATGATCATTTCTACTTTCCTCTTTCTCTCAACCGAAAAAAGTTTATTAATGAATTCAAGATTAATCATGGGCACAGAGTGTATGTAAGGTGTCGATCACTGAAATTAAAATTATAAATCTATACAATCAACAGAGCTAAGCAACACAACCTGTCTCTCAGCCAAAATTATGGTTAAAATTTGATATCTTTAATAACGACATCGAGACATATTAATGGATAAAAACCCCACAAACGAAATTTACCAAACTGATTAAAAGTTATCGAATGGACAAATTATGTGGTTCAGCCTGCCATTCGCTCTTACCGTATTAAGAGCAAATCTCAAAGAAACAAGAGGCCAGCCAAAAGAATAGGTGATTAAAGCCGCGGCAATTACACACAAACATTTCCTCAGTTTAATGCTTAAATAGAAAGTCAATATGGTAGTCAGGCTTCCTGATGTTTCTCGGTTATGCGCGAAGAAAATTACACTCTGAGTGCTTGTGCTTCCAAATCAACACTCTCTTTAAGAGATCAACACTGAGAAGAAACGTTATATTTTCTTGCCACGGCTTGGTATATCCCGACAAAATTCGAACGAATTCTTTTGAAATGAAAAAGGAACTTTTTTTCCTTAAAAAAAAAAAACCCCACACATTATTGGCATGTGAATAATAGTTATTTCAAACTCACCGTAAAAGTGCCAAGGTAGGCGATTACCCCGGATGAAATCATGACGTCACCAACAATATTTACAATCTGACCATCAAATGACAGCACTGATTCATGCCAGCGGATTTTTTCGTCACTGAGGCCACCAATCAACTGTGTTATAGGAAAGTAAAATGTAGACTGTTTCTACCTCACGAATAACAATATTCACGTCGCGCTCCATAACGGGTCATTAAAAAAAAAAAGACTCATATACATAGTGATCACCGGGGCATAAGTTCGCGAGGAGACAAGGATCAATTCATTATCTGCAAGCTTAATGCCTATAACAGGTCTACCAGCTTCTGTAACACGTATTGCCTGAAATTAATAATTCTTTTTCTCAGATAATTGCATTTCATGACAGGCGAGCAGTTCTTCAGAAAATTATTCGACAATTCGACAGTATCCAGTTACCGCGACCCCAGGAAACAAACAAGACTGGCCCAAGAGCAAGACAAAACACATCAGTTTGACTTAGAAAAGAGCTAAAAAAAATAAAGGCTGCTTTAAATTTGTTAGAACTAGTCGCTCGTATAAGACCAGCAAGTCTGAGAACTGAAAAACTGGTCCAATCCAAACTGAGATAATTAAAGGAGATCCCCTCTGATACAAATGTAGTCAAACCGATTCGCTACTTTGTTATCTTATAAGACATACTAAACAGCTGGATCTGTTTTCAACGCAACACCATATAGCACTGACCTTTTCAGCTCGACCAAGTCTGGCCGAGCACTGTTCTGTTTTAAACTCTAATTCCTGTTTCTTGGCAATACACTCCTCGTATTTGGCCTGAAGGGACGCGATGCCTTCCTCCACCTCGGCCAGCCGAGCTTTAGCCTCCGCAAGAACACGTTGGGTTTCTTGTAGCTCTTCAGTGGCTTGTTTTAGAGCAGCCTACAGAGGAAGACAAGTCATCCTGAATATTCCTGCTGTTGTCGCATAAGGGCTTGAATTCAGCAAAGCCTATGAAATGACGCCTCTTTTTGGATAATTCAAAATGATTTATGAAAAATTCATCCTCACACCATTAACACACTCGTCAACTGCGTAATTTATGGCCATTTTTGGTGCCAAGTTGAAAAAATTGAAAAAAACAGTTTGCTCGGGCAGACAAACATCACCGATGTAAGGAAAGATCCACGATGGTTTAAGATCAGGTAGACGTACAAGGATTGCACATTTTTCAAGACAGACAAATTATGACGTAGATCTCTTTAGTCTTAGGATGCAAGGAAATCGACCAGTAAGTCTGTTTTAAATAGAGAGGGTGACACATAGCGGAATCGGCAGCGGTGTTACCAAAGAATCAAAACTAACAAGTTAAGACATAGTAATCAATTAACTCACCCGTTTAGGAGCTACTGCTTTAGACACGAAGTGATATTTGTGCATAGCTCGTACCCATTGGCAGATGGACGTACACGCCTTCGACACCTGAACGACAGATGGAAACAAAGCTAATCAAATTAATATTTAAGTGTATATGATTTTTTATTAATGAAAGCAAAGGTGCAAGTAGTTTAAACTGTAAAGATCGTAAGAAAGATGTAACAACACCACAACAATGAAGAGAACATATGCACACGCACACGCCCACACACACAAAAACGTTTTTCCGGCGTGATGGCCAAAGCGGTGAGGAAGGCCTAAAAATGTATTCATAATACTTAAATTGAGTTTAATCGGTTTTCAGGTTTACCTTGGCAATGTTAGCTGGTTGGAAATCTTCGTTGTCTATATACGGTTGTATTTTCTGAATCACTGGATCGGGGATGTTGTCCTTAAAATGTAATAATAGTTTTATGCACCCATTAAGCTTTATCATATCCATTTTGAAATAAATGATAGTCCTTGCAATCTGCATGATTGTCTCTTAGCAGTGCGATTTAACATAGAATCGCAGCATCTTTACTCCCAGCCAATAGGAATAACACAATAAAACCATACAACCAATCGTTCTCTTTTATGAATTCATCTTCCCTGCTAAAGGATATATGAAATATCACTACCGTACTAGGGTAATAATTTGTGCGTTTTCAAAATGGATGTAACGAGGTGGAAACTGAACTTTGTGTCGTGCAATTTAATCTGAAGTTATATCTGTGACTTTGGAGAGAACTGGAACCCATTCAAATCAATCTCTATTGAGAAAAATGTTTCAAGTTGACGTTATACAGGTAAGTATTTTTACCTTGTCGAACTTGAAGAGACTTTCAAGAAATTTTCCAGGGTCTTGAAGCAAAGCTTTACCAGGCTCCCAGTAATCATCTACTTTTGTCCCAACCTGCACAGTACAAGGATGAGAAATAAACAAATTATTACAACCTACAGAACAAGAACAACAATGCTCAATAAACGATCTCCATCCAACCAAGTAGAAAACAAACAGACTGGCAAACAATAAACCACCTGGTAAAATATTTTGTAAACTTTATAACTGAAGATTGATAATAACTGGCTCTAAACTGAGTTTAATAAAAGTCTTTTAAAAAACAAAAAAAACCAACAACAAAATATAACTCAAAGAGGATGCTGGAAAGTTCAACTTTTCCTTTTTCAGTTCTCATAAACGTCACGTTTCAACTCTCCATTGCGTAGTAATGCGTTCCGTTACACTGCGTTACGTTACGTTTCGTAATTTCATGTGTGGCTAATTTGCTTCAAAGTATTAACCTTTTCTCCCGCAATCTTCTTGGGCTTGACGCCTTTCATTATGCTGACAGCTTCAATCACAAGCTTCACACCTGGAGGAGGACGCTGAAGAGCTCGAACCTGTCACATAGCAACAAGGAAACCAATGCTCAACACTTGCTAGGTAACCAAACGTTAAAGGAGAAAATAAGAAAGTTTCTCAGTATGTCTCTTACCTCCACGACATCAGTCTTATTTAAGGACTTCAGACTCGTCAGGGCCGCTTCCTAAAAGCGAAAGTGAACCACTTAGAATTTAAATTTCTAGCTTACTCAACAGGTACCCAAGAAAATCGCCAGGCCTCCGAGCACCTGAAATTACAATCATTGGAATCTGAAGAATGTGCAGACTTTACAACAGCTGGAAATTTCTCGTACCAGTGCTGGCAAGGCCTCGTCCAAGTCTCTCTGAGCGTCATCAGCAATGGCCTGGGTTTCTGCAGCTTTTTTAGCGGCTTCCTCTTCTTCTCGCTGTACAACAACTTTAGTCTCGTTGGCAACAACCTGTCAAAAGACAGAAAAATATCATCGTTTATAATGAATAGCACCAACTGAAACAATAAGGAGACAATGGACTTGAATAGGTATAGTACACCCTGGGCTGTGTTTTTAAAGCCGATAACTCAGTATTGGTGTAAAATCTGATTTCAGATCTGAAAGCTTCAAAAGAAAATTCAGAATAATTTTTCTTTGTTTACAATTTGATGATTGGATGCTATAAAAAGAATAATGAAAATTATCCCAAACAAGCTTTTAAATAAGGGAATATAGAAACCCAGACTAAAATTTAACCGCGGGTAAGCGCTAATCGCCCTTTCTACAACCGGGTCTTTTAGGTGTTATCTGCTAGGTAAAAGGAACATGGGGGAGCCTGTTGAAATCTGAAGGAAGTTTACAGAAGAGGATCTGAAAAAAGAAAATATCCGCTAATTCAAAAATATAGTAGCCAGTAGAGTCCACTGGCGCAGCATTGTGGATATTTTTTGCTCCCGTAAAGCTCGTGGAAAAATGAGTATTGTGATAGCACGCGGGAAAGTCATTATAATGATTCTCATGGTATACCGACGACTTTTTCTCACAGAATAAGAAATTATCTACCATACGAATACGTGGTAATAATAATAGGGGGGACAATAAGGGAGGATATTCCACAACATGCACAGTTTTCATTACCGAGTCCACTTTAATCTTCTCCATTGTCTCTACAGTTTCTTCAGCTGCCTGAGCCAACAACGGCTGCATGGTCTCCAATTCTTCTTGTAGCTTCTCCACCTCATCAGCTGTACTTAGCAACTGAATAACAACAACAAAAATAACAAGAGAGTAAAATCAGTTTAAAGCTAAGAGCTTCGTTTGCGGAGACACGGCGTGCTAACCATTAACACGGGCAAATCGGAAATTCAGATGGAAAATTAAACTTTACGCCAGTCGCGTTATTCTCTTGATGGAATGTTTGTAAATTATGGGTTGGTAGCTGGGCTGATTTACTATCCGAGTTCTTTTCAGGGTTTTTGATATATTTAGGTAAGTTGTTGACACTTTGTATCTTCTGTTAAGTGAAGTTCAATCATAAAATGTTTATACATGAAATTTGAAACCGCTAGCTTTGACCTCTCCTTTGCTTACTCTACTTACCTCAATTTCAACAAATGAAAAATAAAACAGTAAAAGCTTTCATACTGCTCCTTTTTTCCTTAAATACACGGAAAGACGTCCGAAAATTGATTCTGAGGCGACTTCCTAAGATTGCCTGAAGTAATGTTGCGATTACACCCACCTTGTCCAACCCAACTTTTGTCCTGTTTCTCGCCGTAGACAACTCCGTCTTTTTCATGCCCACCAACTTTCGAAATGTCCCTAGAAGCTCCAAGTAGCTGAAAAAAAGTACAGATAGTAATTATTGTACAACATCGCCGAGGATTAAAAGCCAACAGTCTCAACTCATTACCTGGTGGGTGTAACATAGTTGTGGCGGGACAACTCAGCCAAGTATTGCTTGGACTTTTGAGCCACTGTCTGATGAATGACTCCACAGATTGACACCTGTCGGTCAATAAATAGTTTAAAAGAAGAATATTAAAGATCAATGGTGATTACGAACACTTCGTTGTTGCAGATTACTAGAGCTCGATTTTTTCAAGTTCGAAGACACATATCAGTAGTGGCTCTGAAAAAAAGATCACAGCATTTATTGCCAAACTAAAAGCTACGTAAATGTCAACCTCTTAGAAAGACACATCGTCGCGTTGGACGATTGACCGATTTTGCCAGAATAAAAATATGGTACAAACTCTGCGTCCGTTCTTTTTTCAGATACTAGGTTCGGTCTCTTTGGAGTAGGCCGATCCTAACTTGAAATATATAATTCATGTGATAAAAATCAGGGCATACCAAGCCTTCCATTGCCGAAGATTCATCCAGTTCGGGAATTTCTCCGAGGAAAGTTGACGCCACGGATCGTAAGGCCTCCTTGGGCCAAGCAGAAAACCAATCAATGGTACAGCAGTTGACCAAAGACGGAAATTGGCGGAGACGTGCTCGGAATATTTCACCAATTGGGCTACAAGAGATACAGGTTGATATGAAATCAATGATTGCTAGAAGAAGGTATGACGCCCCAAATATGGCTCGTAATGGAATGAAGGTTGGGCCTCTCGGCAGATGTAGATAACAACAGAGAAAAGGTAATTCTTTGGATCATACAAATTTGGTACAGAAATAAGTTGGATATGCTTGAACCAAAACGTACAGAAATTATCGTCACGCGATTTGACGAAGATTGGAAAAAATAATTTACATCAATATTGGTATTAGAAGGTGTCTTTTAAAGGAAAAAAAGCCATATTTAAGGGCAGAAAAAACTCAATATTTAAACCACTAAGGACGTTACTTTACTTATGACTCTTCATGACTCCTTAGAGAGAAACTGAAAATCGAGATTAACCAGTGATAAAGGAAGTTAATAACAGGGACACCTTACATACCTCATACAGACAACAGTATGTGTGTTGGCCCGCACTCGTTTAGTGAAAGCTGAGTATAGATTGGCCTTGGTGGGCTGAAGACCCTGATCAAGAACCACCGGCTTCATAGCTGTGAAGATCGCGTCGAGCTCATCTTGTGCGAATATGTTAGGTACATCACCAGCATTTAGAACGTTGTTCAGATCTTCTAAGAAACTTTCGCTTTTAATCTGTGTATATTGAAAATGAAGTTGATTACAATGGTCTGGTTATTTAAACCGCGTCCTAAACAAAAACCAAACCCAAAGTAATCACAACGCCCAATCAGAAGAAAGGAAAATACCTTTAAGAGCCAGTAAGAACTCAAAGTAAAACCAAACCCAAAGTAATCACAACGCCCAATCAGAGGAAAGGAAAATACCTTTAAGAGCCAGTAAGAACTCAAGTAAAATCGATTGAACTGACAAAGCGCAGGAAAACGCGAGCGTGCTGGTCGTGATTGGTTTTACGTTTTTCCTTTTAATTGGTTGAGAGAGAGGCACGAGTTTTCTGGACCAATCGCAGAGCAGAGTAATGCAAAAAAAAGCAATCTCGGATTTAAATTTAAAATTGGTCTGTAACGTAAGTTTTCGTTGCGACATTCAGTCTCACGCCGCACGCATAACGCACAAATATTTTGCAACCCTCAAGACCATGGTTAGAGTGTTTGTCACCCGTCTCCACTTTCTTCCCATACCTGTGTGTCACTGAAGAGAAAAACCATCGATTTGTTCTCTACACCTGACTTCAGCAGCACCTTTTTCAGGTCTTCACGCCATTCAGGAACACCATAATTTTTCGCCAACTCAATCTGGAAACACTCGTATTCGGCCCTGAATAAAAAAAAAACCAGCACATGAGCCCAAGAGGTGAGATTATTATTAAGTCAGAAAGAGAATCTTTTCATTGCCATGAAAATCACAATTGACGGAAGATCTAATTTTTATGCCTGCATAAAGAGCTCTGTTGCATCGCATTCCTAGCCAACTTGATGAACTTAAACACCTGTAGCCGACCTCGTCGCAAACAAATCGATTCGCATTACCAAAACCCCTCTTCGTTGCCAACTGGGCTAAACTCAAGTTAATAATAACTCACATGTGGGCTGCAAGCCTTGTCAGGCTCTGACGTCCGCTGCCTCCCACACCCAGAAGTAGAGCGTTACCCAGCGGCTGGCGAATCACACGGCTGATTCGTGACACGTGACGAACTGCGTCAGTAAAGAGCACCAGCTTCATCTGCGCCGTGTTGATTTGATTGTAGTCATCAAGGTACTCTTCCATTATTTTCACCATCTGTCAAAGTAAGCAAGGAGTGTGAGAGGAAACATGACAATGAGAGATCAAGATAAGTAAGAGGCAAAATACAACACAATAAAAAAGATGATAGATTTTGAGCTCGGTGAAGAAGGTCTGAAATATTATTTGCTCACCGCAATGAATGCCCGGCCTAAAAATTACATGAATACTGTCGTGACGGGATGATAGACATACGGAATCATTTAATCAATAGCTGAAAAGCTGGGAGAACGAGGAACCATCTGCCTGTCTCATAAACCAACCAACTAACTTACCCAGTACCCAAAAAATAAAATAAATTGGAAAGCCAATGGAAAGATTGACCCGCCGGTAGATAATCGATATCTACTCGTTACTATTACCTGATAGCAGCACATTTAATTAACCAACAAAATTAGATTCCACCCGTAACTAACCTTTTCAAAACTGGCAACTTCACCATAAATCTTATTCTCAGCACTGGGCACCATAAAATCACCATAAATCATAGTGGAATCTTTGACAACGTCATTCAAAGACGACTCAAACCCAGACGCCATCTTGTCCCGAATCAGATCCACGAACCACTTCCTGTCCTCATCATTGACAAGTCGATCTTGAAACACTCGGCAGTTCTCATGGTACCACAGCCTCAGCACATCTTCTTTGTTCTCAAGTTTCCCCGATTGAGCCATGAGAATTCCTTGGAAAACTTTTGACAAGTCACGCAGGTTAAAGGTGTAGTGGCTCTTGGCTGGAGTGGGCAGTAGCTAGAAAGTGAACGAGCGAGGGTAATTTATGGATTACACTTGGAATGAGTGTTATAAAACCAAAACCAAAGAAACAACAAATGTAAGTCTTCTAAGAAGCTATCAAAAATTCTTGCAAACAACCACCAGTGCGCAAAAAACGCGCGTAACCATGTTACGACTGGTTTTAGTTTTCAGCTGTTTGCAACTTTAGCAACTGGGTTAAAAGGGCAGTGCGAGTTTTCTAGGCTAATCACAGAACGCATTAAACAAAATCAATGTAATACCGCAATATGCTCTAAAAGATTGACTGGTAAGTTTGGTTTGAAACCATACCAAGAATTAAGAAGTCATAGTACCTGTGTGATAACAGTGTTATAAACGGCGATGGTGTTCCGTACCAGACTGTCACAGAGTGTTTCTCTGTCTTCACCTACGTATGAAGCTAAAAGCAACACAAGCCAACTGAATTTCGAGGAGAAATTTCTTGTATCAACTACAAGTAGCAACCTTCTCGGTACTTAAGCTTAAAAAAGGGGCTCAGGTCTTACAGGACAGTATGACTTAACTTATAGTTAACAAGTAAAGTACTTTAAAACATCATTCCACGCCACTCAACAGTACATATCTAAGTCTGTTCTTTAATCTTGGATATTTTGTTTCACAATATCTCCTGACCGAAACTTCTTGTCATTATTCGCAAAGTGTGTTCTCCTTTTTTTGTACTCCTGATATTGAAGTCGATCAGAATACCATTGTCCCAGAACAGATGTTTACATTTAAATTCACGGTTTATTACCGTCACTCAAAAGCTTTTACGAACGTCCTCGCATTCCTGTCTAACAAACCTCACATAACACTACTTGCTTTTTCCTCTACACTATTCTAACCTGCCAGACCTTTGTTTATATCTGTAAAACAAATAACACCTTGTTAACGTGGCTTCTTTAACAGATGGTCCCTCATTTGTGGTGCGAGCGCCTGTAAGTGCTTTACTCACATTCTAAGAAGAGTTCTTAACTTCTCTAAATTGGCTGTATAAATCATAAACACTTGGAAACTTGCCTTTCTCCTACCTAACCAATCAGTAACCTATCTTCTGTATAAAAGGAAGTCTGTCCTCTCCATTTTACTCTGGGCACAAGTTTGTGTTCCTCGGAGTAAATATTCCATAGGGTGGTTAGACATTAACGGTTGATTTATTTCATACTCTCAACATACAGGATGAGCACAATGTTTGAATAATGTACAAGGATTAAACTGAATTAGATACAAACGGCCCGTTAACAGCGATATTGAGGTTTACCTCGTTGTAAGTAAAGTGACCTTTAGCTTTCTACTATCGTAATACTACAATTGGGTACGAGTTTGCAGGCCATCAAATGAGTGCAAGCAACATGACAGGCAACCAGACTGATAACCTTCCTATTGCAGAAGAGGCTTCACTTGAAATTCCTTACCTATCCAGGACTTGAGAATTGTAGCGAAGATTCGCTGTTTACTCTCATCTTCCAGCTCGGTGAATGACAAATGATTGAAGTGTCTGAGGAATCGAGGTGTGACGGGATTTCTACCACCCCCTGGGGGTCCCATTGCCGCTATAAAGTTTATATCCACCAGTTCACGGAAGGTTCCTTAATCAGGAAAAGACACAACATAAATTTACGTGCATCCATGCTTCTTCCCAAGGGGTTTCATGCAGCAAACTTATGCATGTAACTGAGACAATGAAGAGGAAAGCATAAAGAGGCGCGAGCTTCTTCAACACTCACGGATACTTTTAAAAGCTAGGTCACACGGATTTCTTGAAGTGATTTCTTTGGTGAAGAGTAGAATTATCTTCACACTGAATAAAACTAAAAATAATATTTTGAAAATGAAGAAAACATAGAAAAGCAATAAAAGACTAAGAATGAGCAAAGAAGGCGAAGGATAAAGAGGGTCACAAGGGGTTGAAAACAACAAAAATAGAAAAAATTCTACTTAATATATTAAAGACGAAGCTCGTTTGAGCCTTATTTAAGCAGCCTTGCAGCATCTACTCCCCTCTCAATTTCTGGTGGAAAATCGGCGGAAATTATAAATTAAAATCAGCTTAATTAAGAAAAGTGAAGGAATGTCTATGGGATCACAGTAACGTACCAATGGCCTTCCTGTCGTACCAGCCCTTATGATCGCAGTACTGGCGCAGGATTTCTACAGGAGGCTGGGCTCCATACACTTCCAAGGCAGGCATGTTAAGATCGTCGACAAAAAACACGAAGTGTTTCCCCAGTGGAGGACCAAACACACCTTTACGTCTGAAAATAAATACATGCAATTTGAACAATACAGAGAGTAAATGTGGCGTAAGACTACCTACTACAAAATTTGAAGAGCAGGAGACCCACAGTAGATGCCAAAAATGTGCCAACACGAGAAAAACAGGTGGATTTAAGCCTGCAAATTCAGACTTTCTACTCCCGTTTTACTCTGCAGGAAACAATATGTCAACGATCAACCTAAATTGGCAGGTTAGTAACACGGTCTCTTGACAAAAATGCGTCAATAGAAGAAAGCACTCGACACAAGCATAAAGGATTGACGAACTAAAGTTGAAAATTATCGAAGGGAAACGAACATTTAAGCAAGAGATGATAACACGAGAACAAACAGGAAGATGATGTCAGATACGCGACGGTATTCTGACGTTTTAACGTTGTTTAAACAGTACATAACTCGGGTATCTTTTGTGTCACAACTAAACGGACAGTCTCACCTCTTGTCCAGTTTGCTGTCTATAATATCTTGCGTTTGATTAGCAGATGTTCGAGCAGAAAAATTCAAGAAATGCGAAAGGAACTCTTTAGGCATGTCGTTCAGAAGTTTGTTGGCTATACAAAGAGTCTTACCAGAGCCAGTTGGTCCAACACTCATCACCTGTGGAAGCAATGAAGTTCTCAAACCTCGTAGCAATTTCCTTGACCCTTTAACTCCCAGAAGTGATTGACATGTAACTTCTCAATATAATATCAATACGTTATTTATCGAGCAGGTAATGAGAATACTCAAACTTATCAGGTAGAAGTTGTTAATTGTCTTGATTTCATATCAAATTCTTGTAACTTATTTTCAAGGAGATGCGTAGCAGCTAAAGGAGAAAAATAGACTTTGAGATCTTGGGAGTTTAAGTGTTAAGAGACTAACGTCTATGGCTAGAAACAGGTGAGAGATAACTTCATCTTAACAACACTGTTTCTGTCTTAGTATTGTTGTCGTTACCGTCCTTAATTGACTTTGTTTTTGTCGTAGCTGTTATTTCTCTTTTAAATGTTCGATTAAGTCTCAAATGCCAGATTATTATCTGTATTTAAAGAGATCAAGGCAACAAAGTGGTCTTCGGTTGGATGGGACCAAAGAGGATTGGATGAACAGTGTTCGCGTTGTCTCAGTATTTCTAGACACAGACTAATGGAGACAATACCCTCCTCGTGACATGATGGTCTTCTCTCGTCAGTTGTTTGCTTAACATGGTATCGTTTAATAGTCCAGCCTCTAATCTCACGGCACAGTAGCGTACATAGATATGGATACCTTCTTGTTGTTTGTTAGCAGCGTTTCTAGCAAAAATGAACCTCTGACCAAGTCCATGGTGGGTATGATGATATCGGAGAAGTTCATCTCCGGTGGAATGTCAGGCATGGATATGTTAGCCATCCAGTTTACCCACTTCACCTGTAACACAAATACATAATGAGTTAGAACAGTAGCGTTGCCGTCATCGAAAGGAAACGAAAAGTGGGAAGCATATGTTCATGAAACTTGTGAGGATTGAATGACAAAACGAAAATTAAAATCCTTTAAGTGGAAATATCAACTTTTCATGAGAAATCGAACAATACATTCCGATACTTCCTTGCGATTTTCCCAAGTCAAAGTTAGTCAGTTTTAGAGGAACATTTCATCACTAAAACGTTACGATTTTACTGAACGGTCACAAACGGCAGGTGCCATCGACGCAACAATTCTCATACAGAAAGGATTTGTACATTTCAAAATATATTGAGAATGTTCTTATGCACTTTCTTTCTTCACCACCCCTCCCCTCTTGAAAAGATGCATAAAACACCCTCACCTCCCCTGCATGTTCCTCCTCATCGTCATCATCCTTGCTGTGCTTTCGACTGACTCCACCATCCTCTAGTGCGTAATCGTATACCAGACCGTCACGTGGAAACATCATAGTAATCTGGAATTGTAAGAATTACACTAGGTTACTTTATTCCACCCACGACGGATGACGTCTATCTACTCTATCAGTACCCAGATGCAATTCCCTGTGTTTCAAAAGTGCGAAGTAAGGTTAGTCAAAAGAGAATCGAGCTCAAGACATGTTAAATAAATGATGAGCTTCTCTGTGAAGTACATATATTTTATTGGAAATCACCTTCTCGTCATCCATTTTCTTCCTCAAAAATTCACTAAATTTCTTCCTTCCGTCTCCATCGCATGTTCCTCCAACGGACCAGACAAGAGCAAAGATAAACCAGGGTTCAATCAGGGTTTCGGCCAAAGCAATGTGCTCTGAACGAATCGTCTCTCCCTGATGAGGTAAAATCAAATGTTCTTATTAATTCTATTTGACAAAGACTGTATATAAGCCACAGACTTAAACTAACAGCAAAATTGAAAAAAAGCATTGAATTGAACTAACGTTATGAAAGTACTTTTAATAAATAAAGAAAAAGCTAACTCTGACTTAGAATTCGCGTCTGAGATCTTGAAAAACGCTGTATCGCTGGCATTTTGTCAACAATCTAACAAAACGTGCTTCACAATAAAATGCGTATTTTATTTATCTTACCTCTTTAGGGACAAATGGAGCAAAGAAGCAATCCAGAATACGCATCAGGCTGGATGTTAAATTACTGTTGACAGTCGGTACAAACTCTTTTGTGTTACTTCTCATAAACTTCAGTGAATCCTGAAAATGTGCAACGTTCAGGCATCAAGATCTTCGCAATAATACAGACTTAATATTATTGTCAGGAAAGTCAGATTTACAATGACTGAAATGAGCTAAGAAACTGATAACGTAAACGTACTTGTTAACATAGAGGTAGCGCATTTTCAATTATATTTCATACGATTCAGCTTTCCCCTTGAACTAACTCTATTAAATTGCTAGCGATCGTAGGAAGAACTCGTACCTCTAAGAATCTATCAAAGAGTGACTGTAACTTGTCCTTATGATCAAAGATAGCGTCTGGCAAAGTTTTCAAATAGCAGTTCACGAAAGGCTTGAGGCCCAAGATGCTAGGCTCCAAGTACACCATACCACAACGGCTAACAGTGGCTGGGGAGGCAACAGCAAGGTCCTGGACTTCGAACATCATCGTCATTGCCTGTGAGAAGAACCGAATAATTTTTTAAAAAACTCCCTGAGGTGACCAACGGGAAACTTCTCCTCCTCTACGGGTAGAGTGTTCCCTTGACATTAAGGCAAATTCTTCTACTAAATTCAAAAGTAAATGAATAGAAGCTTAAAGGGCGAATCACCTATCATATCATTGGATATCAAGGGATAAATCGCGAAAATAATTGACTTGCCAAGCAACTCCGACAACGTCCGATCAGCTCAATGATGAGGACCTATACAAGATTAAAAAGTCGAATTCTATGCTTACCTCAGTTAGTTTGATGATTTCTCCACTCGTAAGACAAAGTTTTTTGTTATCATCAAGCACAGTGTTCATGTTTTCAATCCACACGGCGTCTACAGGCCCGTCAAACAGGTACCATTTCTTGTCACTAGTTGTGCTTGAGCTGCCAACCCGAATCATGGAAGACAAGATACCATCGGTCCTAGACATTCAGGAGGAAAGTAACAGGTAAATTAGGAAATAAAAATTACCGCCAGGGCATGCCAATTCACAGTAACGGTAGACGCTTCATCAATGTAGCCATCACTCGTAGAAAAGTGAGATGTACTAGCAAAAGTCTGTGGATATGATAGGAAAACAGACGGTCGAGTTTCACCCACTTACCATTCATGAGTCAACAAATCAAATTCTCCGTACAGCTGTCCCATAGTGATAGATTTAGGATTCAGCACAAACGTGTGAACCTCTTCATACGGGGTCCCTGCTGGTGAATCTTTACCTTTAAGCGACGTCAGAGCTTTCTGAAGCACTTCGTAGCACTACAGAAACCATTGAACAAAAGGCATAATACGAATAAACATATATTACATATTTTTTCTTCTAAACGATTCAGTTTCCACATTTAGGTAAGTTCGAAAAGCTTAAACTTAATTGATCATTTTCACAATTGCGGTAATATGTATTTCATATATTTTTCGGTAATTTGCTTTCAAAAAATAAAAATGTTTCAATTTTCTATGGGATTACCGGAGCAATAAAATAAGTTTTTCATCAATCAGGGCGCTCGTAGTATCTCCGTTAGTTGGTCAAATCAATTAGACGCACTCTGAAGGAATTGCTGAAGCATCTCAACTTAACTAAAACAGCCAGTCTCAGCTTGACTTATGGATAAGAAGAACGAGTAAATTAAGAGTTCAGAATCTCGTTCAGGTAACAAGAAAGCAAAGATTATACGTGCTGCAAACTCACCCTTGTTTTCCCTGATCCAGTAGGACCCACTAACATGAGCCCATGCCTGACCACTGTTGTCTCGTACAGCTGGATGCACTTGGTCACAAATCCATCCACATCTTCAAGTCCCATTTTCAGGCACGTCTTACGGATGGAATCTTCCAGATCACCATAGTCAATAGGTTGTTCTCTGTGGAAAAACGTTTGATAAAATATTCACTTCAACAAACTAGAACAATGATAAATTCATCAAAGCCTCCAGATCTGCTTCCTATAGCTTTGCAACGTGCAATGACGACTTTCTCAAGTCTAAAAGCACAACTTCATTATCATGCGTGACGTTACTCATGCTATGGACAGGCTCACTTACGGCTTTCGTGCAGTTTTTTCGCGGGAATTGAACTAAATGGCATCACTCCTGAAGTTTTTGTCTTCAATTTCCCTCTCACTTTTAGTTTATTACTTACTTGACTTTAGGGAACAAGTCAGAAACAATGCCACGGAACAATTTCAAATCATCTTGCAAAAACTTCGGCACATTCACATCTCGTATGGCACGCAGTACAATAAGTTCCTGGACGGAGATAGCAACAGAACAACATGATCAAAATAAGACCTATTCAGCATTAACACTTTGGAAGAGCAAATAATTAAAAAAAAAATTAAAAACTCTAGTTGAGCTAAATCAATCTTTACCTCGCTCATCTCTGGATTTTCTCTTTTGAGGTTTCCAGCGGCTGATATGACAGTCTTTACAGCTCGCATACCAAAGTCGTAGTGATCCTAGAAAAGGTAACAGAGAACTTGTAGAACTATTGGTCCAAACGAAAAGCTGTACTGTTGGATAACACTTTACTCGACACCTTAACAAAACGCCTTTCCCTCTTGCCTTTATATTTGATATGAAAATTGCATTATGGAGAAATTTCATTATTATCCTGTCAGCCTACACATGTACGAATAGTAAAGATAAAGTAGATTAAATTTCTCCACAAACCTGAGAACTGAGTTGTTCCGATGACAACTTGAATGTTGTGGTAATTTTTTTCGCCAAAGCTTTCGCTTCCGAAAAACCAAATGAGAAAAGACTGATCTCAGCGATCAGCGCGTAATCTGGAACCATCATGGCCACAGGACGGAATAAAGCCTGAGAAACAATGAAAAAATCAAACTTGCACATGAAATATATGCAGTGAAATCACTTTCATTAGATGATGCTCTATCAAATTCTGTAAATTGTCTTTAAAACTAAGGGACTAGATTATCTAATCATAAATTTCATTAAAAAGTCATAGCTTCCCCACGGTAAGCATAACACGTTATCTAACTCGAGTGACTTGTCATCTACAACTCTTTTCTGTAGCTGAGGTTTGTTTGCACACTTTTCAAATGGTTTTTATTAAAAGAGAGTCTCTAAAGCTTGACAATTAATCCAAAGATGATATTCTGTTAACGCACTGCTCTCTTAAGCAGTGGAAGAGAGTACGAGTACGTTCTGCCTGTCGCTCGCTGTGTTTGGTTGACAAACTTACCTTCAAATTATCCGGAAGCTCTGTTCTTCCAGCATATCCAGGATTCATTGTAATGAACACAGCACAAGAGGGCTTCAGTGCCAGCTCAACACCTTCAAACATGAAGCGTTCAGCCTACAAGCATACATCAGACAGTGGAAAAATCTTTCAACTTAGTTTCAATTTCAGAGGGAGCTACAAGTGAGTGGCGTTTAAACCTTTGTTTTAAAAAAAATCTTTGGCATATGCACAGGTGTACTGGTTTTAATTCAGAAAGTTGTATACAAACCCTCGCTTCCAAAGCTTGTTGGATGGTGGAAATCTGTTGTGCTACCACAGACAATACTTCAACGTCTATACGATTGAACTCATCAAAGCAGGCCCAAGCACCGGCGCTAGAAAACAAAACGTAACAATGTTAGGAGACTTTTTGAATTACGACATTAACTGGTAAAAAAACCACATTAACACAGTGTTTACTCCAAGAGAGAAAGGGCAGACTTTCTGATTAAAACCTCCACCTGTAACACATTAAAAAGTAACACTTATGAATTTTAAGAATTAGCTGTATACCTGGCCAAACCCTTGAAGAACTTGCCCATGGCCATGAAATCCAGTTGATCAGAGCAGTTGAACACAACACACTGAACTGCCATGGCTTTACCTAAATCCTGTTGAAAATATTAAAGCAAAGAATTTAGACCAAGTTGTCATTGTAATAAACTTGCCTTAAACAGCTCTCTAAGCGACTTCTTCGGCTTGTTCCTAAACATGAAGCGGGTATGCGACCGATAAGTGTAAAGTCATTGTTCTATTCAGAAAAATCATCTAGTACAGTTCCATCAGCCTATGTGTCTAAAACCTCCCATTATCTATGTCATAAGGTGGGGCCTTATGTCAATATAAAACTGCCTAACTTTATCCCAGATATCTTCAGTCTCACATCGTTACGCTTCCCCTCCAAAGTGATGAAGATGACGAGACTCTGATCATAAAAAACAAAAATCACATTAATGTCGATACAAAGATTAATTTTGCTAAAAACCTTTGTGGTCTCTGTCTTTCCCGTTCCAGCAGGACCAGCGGGTGCCCCTCCGAATTTCAGATGCAAAGCTCCAGTGAGAGTTAAATAACAGCGATCTGTCAGGGGGGTGATGACCAACCGACCTGTATTCCCTAGGTACTCGTAGCCATAGTCGAACTGTGCATTGACCGCGCGAATGATCATGTCGTCTTCCCAGTAATACCTAAAAAGTTACATGAATAAGCGCCCATTCTCCGTTAAGAACTGCAGGTGTACTATAGCTATGTAGCTGAAATATATCTTGATTGCTTGAGTCCGTAAAGATAGATAAAGCTGGTGGTTGGAATCTTTTTATTCAAAAGATCAATTCTACTGAGGAAGACTAGGTGATGTGCGTGTTCCTAACCCTATAGTGAAATGTAAAGAGGTCAAGTGTAATAGAATAACTTCAGGTCACAGTCACGGCCAGCCGATGAAGCCCACAATACTTATCCAACTATCCTTTCATGAATAGCCATCTCTGTGGAGGTTCGTAGAAAAGCGGAGTCATTTCGAAGGGTACTAAAAATTGCAAAATCAGTTTTAAAAGTAACTGTAGTCAAATTCAGACATGCCTCAACTGGCTTATCCACTCAAAGTCATTCACGTTCTTGACTTTCTCCGAGATCATCTTTGCTACCACATCGCAAGCATGAACCTAAAAGTAAAATAATTAAAGACTTATAACACGGTGAAGAAGACTATGTGCGGTTCATCCCTGGTATTACATTAGCCGTACATGACAGTTGTCACTTTCGGGACAGCTCAAGAACTGGCTTTTCATGCGATATAGTGAGGGGAAAAAATGGACACACACACACAATTTGAAAAGGTGGTGAAAAAACCACTCTAAGTCTCACCTCAATCACGATAAGAGCCCCAAGAATCATCCGTGCAAGCTTACTGAGGTTTCCTCTCACCAGAGTTACGAGATCGTTGAGCTGATGATTAAAAGCAATAACTTTATGACTAGTGAATACTAGTAATCGCCTGTAATTCTTTTTTCATATGAGTCTTTTGAACAAACCCAGTCGTTGAGGCCTTTTTTTCTTATTGATTTGTCTTCAATACACCTTTTAAAAAATTCTGCTGAGCATTTGGCTAAAGCGTGGCTATAGGATGCCTGAGATTAATCATGCTCGGTGTAGTCAGCACCACATACGGAACTTTTCTTAATAAAAAGATGATAAGACAAAAAATTAATTTTTTGGATACTTACTTGAGCCATTAATGCCTTATAGAGCTCGTCTATCCTGTTCTCTATCAATGCTTCTGATACCTCTTTGGTCCAGTGAGTCTGAGCTCCAGCGATAACTACCTGCCCTGGCCACTGTAACACCCACTCGGTGCGAGGAGTCTGTCATACAACACAAACCAAGAGTCACACGCAGTAATAACACTGTAACGCTTTGCTCGAGAAGTCTGCCACACAGCACAAAATATTGTCACAACTTATCCAAAACTGATGCAAACTAAGGCCGTAATCTGATGCAAACTGAGGCGTAATCGACCGATTCCCTTCCATAAATACGCACGTTAAATACGAATATTACAACGACTCAATCGTCCGGCCGGCTGCGTGCATAATACTAAATGACAGTTACCTCTGGGTACACTGTTAAGGCTCTGTGTAAAATCTCTCGCAAACTCCCTCTCATAGTGTTCTCCACTTCCAGCAGCCAATCCTCCACATTTCCTGTCGGGTACAGACTGTTGCTGAATGGAACACGTTCTCCCTCGCCGGAGAACATGGAAGAAATGCGCAAGTCTTCCTCGAATGAAAGCTACAAAGCACAGGACATAAGAATTTCCTGATTTAGTCTAAGAGTTTGCTGTTTTATGGTTGTACAGTTGAATGGAAAATATGCTTTGAACTTAACATTTTGTAAAAGCTGAACGGGAAGGTAAGTCAGTTTCAAGCTCAACAAATTAAGTTTACTTCAAGTGCATGCCACGTGTGATACACAGCAGAAATCACAGAACGTTTACATTACTTTTCCTTACACTTATTAACTTGGTAATGAAGGAAGGAACTCCTAAAACAAGCAGTAATAATCGTAGTATGGCCCACCTTGGCAATATTCTCGAAGCACTTGCGCAGATGAGGTTGAACAGCAGTAGGATCTTTCGTCTGAGACAAAATTTCGAGAAGTTCGTCATCGGATAGGAAGTAGAATCTGGGAAAAGCTGAACGTTTTGTCTCCAGGTATTCACTGAGTCCTTTTTGAACCTAAAGTTAAAATGAAATGTTAATTTAATGAACGGCTAAAGAGTTCTGTACTAGACTTTGCTTTTGCAAGCAGGACCGTTGAATACACGAAGATTTCCCTTTCTTACCTGTTCTAACAGCTTGTTGCATTCACGAAGACTCTCCAGAAGTCTGGCATCTGGGCACAGAGAGATAACCTGAAATCACACCAGGAAGTAGTTTCAATTAGCGCTGCGTTGTTTTGATTATTTTCCTGACGAACGCAATTCGAACTGGATGTTTATAGATTGAAACACTTAAACACTTGACTAAAACTGTTATTTCTCTGACCTGTGGATTTCCCTTAGCACTGTTCATCACTTTCCTCCATATCCTCTCCATGGTCTGATACCTCTTGCTTTCAACTGGCAACTGTCGGTTGATGTCCTCTGAACTGAAGATGGGCTCCAGATACAGCCACTGGCGCTGACACTGTAACCACTCGTCCATAACATCCTGTGTCATCACCAGCTTGCTCTCCCAGGTGGTGATTCGCTCCTCGAAAGGCTTCTTGTACGGTGAAAACGACATACTCTGAGCCATCACAATGTGGTCGTCCAATAGCTGAGAGCAGTCGTCGCTGACTTTCATGATAAACGTGCCTGTTTCCTTATAAGGCATGACCTCCAGCATGACTGGCTTCCATTCGGACTCCATCTTGTCGAGCGCCTAATTAGAAAAACGGTTCAATGTCAAGGTTAACAGATAGTATTTTGTAGCTGAATCACAAATCATAACAACGTTCTCTATTTCTTTTTTAACATTAAAATGATGTATAATGAACGATACTAGTCTTAAAACCGATATTGAGATAGATTGTATGAACTTTAAAAAGTTAGAACTGTCATATGTTTACCTGTTCAATGGAGTATTCTTTACCAGCGATCTCAGCTACTTTAGCAATAACCTCAATGTGATCTTGTAGCTTCATCTCTAGACACTTTGTAAACGTCAGCTGTGCATTTGCCACGATTGGAAAACCAAGCTCTTTGGATAACTGGGTAATAAAGACAGTAATTATTACAACTAGATCATGAGCTTTCGTATCAGACAGAAATATGTCTGTAATTTAATTCTCTACATCAGAAAAAAGGGATAATGGAAAAATATTCATCAAATTTGAACACTAGTTTTAAATGAACTTTTCATCGTTGTTACAAAAAACGGTAAATGAAACGCATAATAATAAGTCGTCAAAAGTGATCCGTAAAATGAGTCTCTGTGTTGACGACGGAGAAAGTATCGATCGCAGTTACTTTTGTTACAAGCAACATTTTCTCCTAATTACGGACGCGAAATGGGTTCATCAAAACATGTTTTAAAATGTTTAATCATAGAATAAAGTATAAGAGTGTTGACATCATCAGGTGGAAAGACTGGCTATAAAATGCTTTATTCGTATCACTAACAAGAGTAGAGCCGAGTTCCTTGGACAACTGTGAATAGAAAAGATAATAACTGAACTGGTTATGTGATATCATACACTATCAGACCCATTGCTTGTAGCAATAGTGTCCCACAGTGTTGGAGACAGGAAGAATTATCGCAAAATTGTTCTGCTCCATTGAAATCCCACCTCTAAAACTAAACGAACAGTTTTAGTAACTGCGAAATTTCCCCGTTATCAAAACGCAGATTGAACCAAACACAAAACACGTCTGCAGTAAAGCATGTGCTCCGAAATTCTGTGGCAAATCATAATGTAGGAAAGAGTATTATATAAGTTTATAAGAAGTGGCGATTTAACGACTACTTTTCTTTTTTTTTTTTTTCCAGTTTTCGTGCTGCAAATGAACTACTTCCAGCATAAGAGGGTGAGCCTCTCTTCGCGTGAGAATGGCGGACATTTAGGTAGAAATGTTACATTCATCTCACCTGTTCCCAATGCCTGCTTCGCATTCCAGGATTTCTTAAGCCTTGGATGAGGGGAATGTACGGCTTAAAGTTCTCGATCTTTTCCTTTACCTCCATGGCGACTTCTTGGCAAGCAGGGATCTCTTTGAAATGTTTGACGCACTTGAAGATCGTCTTGAACGCATTACTCACATTCTGTTCCAGTTGTTCGGCGTCGATTGTTGTAAGTGGATCGTTCATCCAGCTGTCGTACCATTTCTGCCAGTCGGAAGCTGTAAGCCACATATTTTTAAAAGGCTCGAAGTCTTTGATCAAACGGCCAAGCTTATCGTACTGTTGAGAGTTACATAGATGTGCAAGTTAGTAGCACGTACAGGCGACGATTCGTGCGCGTGTGGAGGGTCTGTAAGAGTTTTAAGCTTTCAAAACCTATTCCCCTCTTTCCCAAGAGGAACATAATCTGACAGTGTTTCAGTTTAGTGACTGTGCATGTGTCATGGAACCGCTAACACCCAACTACCAGTCGCATCAGTGGCTATTATCTTAGTCAGGTTCCAAACTGTTGACTGTGGCCAACGGCTACAGTACGTGTATATTAATTTTATTGAATCAGGAAAGAAAGATACTTCACAATTTTCAAGCGTTAAGACAAGGGTAAATACGAGTCTCAGTGAATACTCAAACCTTAGCTATTCAGTCAGGTTTATCAGTCTGATAAATGTTCTAAAACTGAAGTAAAGAACAACCCTTTAACGAGCTGGGCTGAAGTCCATATGTGGCAAGCGACCTTCTTAACACTATAATCAGCAGTATCAAAGCATCTTGTGCGAAAAAGGAGTAAGACATGAGGTAAAATATGCCATTTTCCTCACAATGTCTCCCCTCAGGAAACTTAAATATAAATGTGAAGAATTTTCACAAGGAGAAGATATAATAAAAATATTGGTAATATTGAGTTATGAAATTAGTAGAGAACTTTAAACTCTAAATCTAGAACTCTGATCAGTGGTAGTCACAGTAATGAAATTTATTATTGAGGATGATAAGAGCGAGTAGAAAAGTATACTAGGAAGACGCTTGTGAAAATAATACAAGACTGAAGGAGGAAGGGGGTCGAGCAATGTGGCGATCGGAGTACTGAGCACTCGGTCTCTAAGAAAATGCACCTGCTATGCAGTGTAACACGTTGTTTGAAAAAAATGATCTTTTCGCGGAATGTGGAAAGTTAATTGGTATTTGCATTTATGTTCACACATAACGTCGTAATTCGCGTACTTGTACTCATTGGTCACGTGATATCTAGCTGCCTGGAAACTTTGTTGTGTGAAGCACTGAAAACAAACAAACAAGCGAACCGTGACTTACAGATGTGACAGGAAGCCCAAACAGCCTCTCTCTGTTGTTGTAGGTGGTGGCAAGCGTCTGGCATTCTTTGAGCTGTTTAGTCAGACGTCGCACCTCATTCGCCACCTCATGTGATTTACTGAGATCCGTGTGAGCAGCAAATCCTGCTACAGCCATATTCAGCGAATCCAGTCTGTCTTGGAAGGTGTTCTGATCTGCTAGCAGATTCTTCTGGAATCTCTCCTCGTCTGCTTCAAGGTTTGCTTCGGTCGCCTCCATCTGCAGCTGGATTTTATGAGGCCAACCGATACAAGTCCACCTGAAAGAAAACATAGCAATTAAATAAGGCCGTTCTTACTGCCTTATGAAAATAAGTGCTCAAAGAAAATATTACATACAATTAAAAGAACTCCTCAGGCCCGCGAGGTGAGAGTAACTCGAGAGTCTTTGAGAGGGAGCTTATTCATCCCGACTTTCACGAGTGCAGGTGGGTACATTCAAGAGCAAATCTTCTCATAGAGGAAAGAGCAATGGAAGATACGCGTAAGGGTAAAGATGTATGGGCGCTCTTTAGTTCAGCTTAAGAATACTTACTTGGCATTAAAATCCTCCGCTGAGATATTGTAATTAAATTCCTCAATCAGTTCGTAGTCGATCATGGCCTTATCGATCAGTTCCTGATTCTTCTTCAGCTGTTCTGGAATCTGCTTCATATACTCTCTTTGTTCTGCTAGTTCTTCAATGCTGTTTGGTTTGTCGTACAACTGTCGTGCAATAGTCTTGAACTCCTCACAGACCTGGACAACAAAATTGACTCACTGGATTATTTGTTTGTTGGCTTGATAGCAGGTTAAGTAAGGTTCTTAATGAACAGGTGAAAAGTGCCAGCACGATCGTCGATAAAGGTCTACACCCAATAGACGAAAAAATCGCCGTTAGTACTTGTACATGTGATATACAATCCTAGGTGACCAAATTGAGCATGTAAATTTAAACTTGGCCAACTCAAGGTAAAGGGGACACCTTTGCCCTTCTATGCTGAGAACCAAATCCCCGAATAATCGCTTTGATTCTTTGGCTTAAATTATTACATAACATACACAACAACCAGAATCATAAAATGTAAACAAAATGGGTATCTAAGTGTTCGTACGTAACGGTATGCTAGTTGCCGAAGACTTCGGTTTGTATTGTTACGGCATAAAGCTAACGAATCGTTTTTGAAACTTCAATCATTTTATAATCATTCCATAAAACATCAAACATTAACTTAAAACGAGACTAATTATGTAATGAGCTCGGCTTCTTGAGGTAATTTTATGAGTGGGCGAGTTGGCGTGGGCGAGCTGGTTCGTGGGCGACTTGATCGGATACCTTTCATAGACAGACAGTAAAGACGCCGAAGGTTATGTGATTTTGTTGGTAAAATAGCGTGAGTTTGTTTCAGTCGACGGTTATGGTGTCTTTAAGTACATCTTTTCTTACATCTGCTGTTTGTTCTTATAATTTATTTAAAAGAAAAAACAAGTTAACATCGGCTCTTTGACGAAAAGGTAGGTAATAACCAAAAAAGAATTGCCCAGACTGAAAAGTGACAAGTGAATGTAACCCACCATATCTGCTTGTTTACGAAGTTTCTTGGCCAACAGTTCAATAACAGCATTAGCCAGAGCTTTTCGTTTCTTTGCAAGCGCCTGTCTGACTCCTTCCGTAGAGATCCAGTACGGACCAATCACGATGCTCGATGGCAGAGAGTTCTCCAAAGTCTCTTTATCTTTGAGATGTCGTTCAATCTCTTGTTTCACTTCTGATGCAGATCGTTCTTGTGAATCGTATTCCCTGCAAAAATTTGAGTGTAACAAAGTCAGCAAAGCTCAGAGAGTAGCCTTTCCGTTGAAAAACTTGTCTGTACGTTTTAGTGGCCCTCGTTTTCGTACATGTAGGCCATTACAAAAGAAATGGTCTGAACCAGGGAGCAACAAAGATCATCAAAATCAATCAAAGCTTGAGTGAGCACCACTTTAAGAGTTGAACATCTACATGTACAACCATTGGTTGCCGCACTGCCGAGGCTCTATAATTGATTAGGGTGTGTATTGTACATTCTATATCATACACTTGAACTAGTCCCAGGGCACAAGTTCTGGATTCGCTCAGTCAGACTGAAATGTACCGTTAACATGCAATTTATAGAGACCAAGCCAGAAGCACATAACCGAAAAACGTGCGAAGGTTTTGCGTGTGCGTTGGCCATCTGCTTTTGGACCAAGCATAACTCATATTTTCCTGTAATATGGGAAAAGTTACCCACTTTAGAAACCTTTAAATGAAGCTAAAAAGTTGTACATGTAGCCTGAAGAACGAGCGGATTAGTGGGGCTGAAGCGTGATACACGAACGCGCGCAAAGCGCGAGACAAAGATCTTCTTTGCCTCGCGCTTCGAGTGCGCATTCATGTATCACGCTTCGACCCCGCTAATCCGCCGGTTCTGCAGGCTACTGTTCATGTATCTGCATCTCCCATGTGCTGTATCCGGCAGTTTAAAACAAAGCTACTCACTCTAGATATTGATTTATATCCATATTGTACAGCTCCAAGTACTGTTCATATTGCTTGGCATAAGCTCTCAGTGGAATAAGTGACTTTTTGATCGCCTGTCGTACAGTTTCTCTTAGTTTCACCACCTCTGGTTCATTCTCACCAACAGACTCAAGCAGAGGTGTTCCACTCCAGAATAAGCCTTCAATCACCATCTTCTCCAGTTGTGGGACATTCTTTGTACATGTGATGCCCTTGTCGAACAGTGCAATCACCACACGGCCAAAGCTCTCCAGATCAGTGTTGTACTGAACTCCTGTCTTCTCCATTGTCAGGTCCAGCATGAACAAGGCATTCTTTTTAGGTCTGATTGTTATTTGAAGAAGGATCATTAGTTTTCCTTGATTAGAGTTTCAGCTCCTTGACATTATGAAGTACCATTACATGCTTCATTCCTACTTTTATCGAGAAAACTCAGTGCCTCTGCTCACCCAAAAAACAATATATCAGACAATTATACAAAAACAAGTACACATAGTAGATCTTTTCAAAAGTGCCCCCATGTTACACGACATGGAACTTCCATGAGAATTATTGAAAGGAATATTTACAATTATCATCACTTTATCACAACAGAAACATAAAAAGTTCACTCCTGTAAGTTTCAATCTACGTCTGACTTGTTACTTTTTCAAAAAACAATTATCTTCATCAAAATCTTACACTTGAAACTTTCTCCAAAAAGCCATACATGTAGTTAAGACTTGTGTATAAACATGTGCAATTATTGACATCAAATGACATGAGTACTTACTTGTAATTACTGTTTATGATATCTTCACCCCAATCAAAGTCTTCCCCTAGGTCCATTACACTGTAGGTGGCATCCAGGATCATCTGAGTAAAAGCTGCCAAGGAATCCTGTACCAAGTAACGCAGTGAATCCTAGTAGAAAAAAATCACATAGATTGCCATACGGAGACTGGAATATTGCCAAACATGAGGGAGAGACTACCTGTACACTGTTTGTAGTTTTTTCTAGACTGCACATGGAGAAGGATGCACTCCAAGACAAGTACAACAAAAACTTGCAAGGAGGATTAAGGCAGGGTACACCAAGTAATTTTAGTTGCCCACAGTGCAAGAGTCAGAAGTTGATAAACTGTTATAATTTTAACTACAGTCTTTTCAGTTTCTCCAATCTACATGCATCACATTTCCAAGTCAGAAGACACGTCTTAAACTTTATCAGTATTCATTTATGTATTCAAAGAGGATGCAAAATTTGTTCACTGCACCTGCATGGCAAATTTCACCAGCTGCATAAATTTGGCCAACTTAGAGATTTGGTAAACCTCCCAGTTTCTTTCCTCCATGTTAAACCATCCCTTTCCCACATCCAAAAGGCTGCTGCGGATAGCTGTTCTGAGGGTGTTTAACCAGCTATCCCGCAAAAATATTTGTACCTGAAATTTAATAAACAATGGTGGCAAAAAAATGCATGATCAGTTAAAACCATAGATAATATCTAATTGTCTCAAATTTAGGCATTAACAAAAGCTTATATACAGTAAATTCAAATTGGAAATCATTGATCTAAATATTGATTACCTTATGGGTTTTCAAATAATTTGGGAAACATTTTGTGAAATAGATCTTAGCTACTGTAGGGCATGTTTGCCTACTACAAGCTTAGCTGTACTTGTACAATTTGTAGTAAATAGTAGTATTGCTAGTGCTGTTCACATATTTTGGTTAACTCTCTGCACCATCTGTAAATACATCCAATTGCTTGATCACACAATTTAAACACAAAGAGACTTCTTTACCTGTGTGCTGACTTGGGCTTGTGTTTGTTCAAATTCTTCCAGTTTCATACTTTTTGACACAGGAACCTGGAACACTGACATGCTAGCAACTTTATTGCATTCAGTTCTCACTTTAGCCATAGCCACTATGGCTTCCTCTCTGGTCAGCAAACAGTTGAAAGCAAAGTCATCAAACTTCTCATCAAAGGGATATAAAGGAACATCTGGGTGGAATCCTTGCAGCCAAAGCAAAAAATAAATTGTAATGAGCAGAAAAAAAATTCTTAATAGACTCATTAATTTACCAAGGTTGAGAATTCATGGAGTCCAATTAAAGTGGCACAAGTTGGTACATACAGTAAAATCCTTTTTACAAGACCACTCGGTCACTATGAAAACTGTAATCTCAAAACCATAATCTGATTACCAAAGACTACTGCTTGTAGTTTAGTTTTTTTTCATGCCTCAGAGTAGCTTTTTCCATGGAACAAAACCACATTCCATGAATATTTAAGGTGCTCACAGTTTTCTGGCCTTAGCAGTAAAATCAACCGTTTGTTTGAAGGCATAATTATTAACTGAAACCCCAATTCTTAGATTTAAATGTCCTTCTCATTACAAGCTTAATTCACATGTGCCGACTTCTCTCTACAAGAAGAGATTTATTCTGACGACACCTGTTTGGTGAGTCAAAAGAAATCAGATGAGTGCTTTTACATCAGGTTTACCAAGTTAATCAAGACTTTGCATGCCACTTGCAGTGTGTAAACCTAGTGGAAATGGGTTTAAATTCTGATCTTGTTTTCCAACCACTTCTGGCTAAAATTAAAGTTGGAGTTTCGACTTTTTTTCCTCCTCCCATCCATTTTACTTACTACGTTAAATGCAAAAGATGTATATGTATGAATTCTACAACTTGAACATTTAAAACCTTTATAGTGTACCTCGTTCAGGAATCACCTCTTCCTCTTCTTGAGGAAGAGTGACAAAGGGGTATGTTTCTGGTTTACTACTGACTATCCTGTCAAATGTGATCCTGTTCATGCTGCGTGAGAAGTCTACTTGGATTTCTTTAGACAGTAAGTGCACATGTTCATCCAAGCTGTATAAATAACAATCATTAAAAAATGCTGATTGGTTTAAATGAACAGTAACTTTTAATATCACTAAAATGTGATCTTATTTGTGGGAGGCAAGGTGACATAATCATTAGTAACTTTGACTCTGGAATAAATGACCTTAGGTTTGATAATTGGCCAGGGGAATGTTTTATGTGTTGCTGAGAGAGACTCTTCTTTCTGACATGCCTCTTGCCAACCAGGAATTTAAATGAATCCCTGTAGGCACTGGCTCAATGCTTGGGAGTACTGTGTAGGAATAAGGGGGAAAGTAACTCATGATCATCGCAATCTTAATGAAAAAGATGTATGTACATGGTCCCACAGCTTTACTTAGCCTAACCAACACTGTATACATGCATAAAGATATATAGTTGTTGCTGTATCACACTAGAGAATCTTGACTTCCAGGCCAAAAGTGAGTCACTATGGGCTAATGCATTTGTATTCCCATGCAAATAAGCTGTTCAATTTTTAGTATGAAGATGGGTGGTAAACTTAAAACATGCATGTACAGTATGTAGATGTTTAGTGCTGGAACTTTCCTGCACAAAGATTGGAAAAAATTACGCTAAAAGGAAGATCAATCAAGTACCTCTTGTCACTCTTCAGTGTTCTAGTTCCTTTAGCCCAGGTGATCATTCTTTCCAATGAGCTGGGATCAAGCCTGACCACTCCATCCATAGGCATGCAATCAACATACAGATTGTACCTGAGCAAAGCCTCTGTTTCACAACGCAGGGCATATGCCTTGGCTACTCTTTCAGCAAAGTTTATTGGATCCTCAGCAGCAAACAATAGCTGTATTCGTGGAACCCAAAACTGTGCACCTTCAACTTTGGAACGTTTCCTTTTTGGTTCCTCACTGCCATGTGCTTCACCATTCACTGTACCATTTTCCATCACTCCATTTGCTGCTGGGATAACATTGTGCTGGAGGCCTCCTGTACCAACAACTTGCACCAAAAACAACTGTTTCATGTCATCATAATCTAGTGTACCAACATCTCTCCATGCATATCCTTTGCCATTTTTCCCTCTCTCTCTCAACAATAGTGCTTTTCCTGGTACTGGATGTTGTTTACCATCGACTAAGCCTAGTTCCAACCACTCATTTGGGTTGCGACAATCAAATTCTGTGTCATCAAATATGTGAAGAGGTAAGAAGGCAGGAAATGGGGAAGCATCAGGTCCTGTGAGATTAACTCTCATGTTGTAGTCTCCTTTGGGCATAAGCTCAGATGTCTTGACTCCAAGCTCTTCCAGTAGTGTGTTAATATCTTGCTTGGAAAATATGCGCTTTTGTCTGTGAAGGGATGTAAGGTACCATATCCATCATAAGGATATTTCATTTCATTTGTGTATAAATGTAATTTTATTTGTACATAAAAGAAATTATACTCTATTCTTTAATTTATCAAAACAGGCAACAATTAGCTGGTAGTCTCCTCAATGAGAAGTATTAGCTATTTAAAAACACATGCCCTTGTTGCACATCTCTATACCTTGCATCAATCCTTTCCCATAACCCAATTTCCCCTAGGAAAAATTGGAAATTTTGTAACTTATTTAACAATGAGCAACATACAGTAAACTAGATGAATGCACATAAAAAGAAAAGTATGTATGTAAAGTCAGTCTGCATGATTGTAAAAACTACAGCCTACACCATATGACATGAAAGTAAATTAGCAAAAAAAAGGAGGAAACTAACCTTTCAATTTCAATTTTTCTAGGAACTTGGCCTGGCTCTGCCTTGTATGGGAGTTGCACCTTGGGCTCCCAAGATTTTTCAGGAAAGTCCTGCAGAAAAAAACATAAGTGTACATGTATTGAAACATAGAGCATAGAGGATATAAATCTCTGGGAAAGGGTTAATCAGGACACCATTGTGGTAAGAGAGACACGTGGATGTCCAGCGACTGCCAATCTTGAACAAAGCAATCGATACTTACAGAAACTGTAATGGGTGCTGTAGTTGGTCCATGAACTTGATCCTTTAGGAGAGAACTCAGTGCTTGAGAAGACATAGGTCCCTTGAATGTTTGAACTGAAAAGGTGATCATAGCATTCACATGTGCATGGAATGAACAATTTACCAGGTATACAGTAAAAACTTATCAGTAAGGTGACAAGAACTTAAAAATAATGGCATACCTAATGGACAAAATTGACCTGCTTCCTTAGTGGATAAAACAGTGAGATACCACTGAAGGAATGTTAAGTGTAAAGCATTACTAAAAGTTATTACCTTCCGGCATATGCTTCACTTTTGCAGTTTTCCATAATGTACTTCTGGAGGCTGCTGGACCACCAGTAATACTCTGTTTTCAAAAAGTCATCGAAATTAGGACTCCTATCCAGAACATCAAAGTATGCAGTTCATCCTAAAACATCAGTTACCGCATCTAATCTTTATTTGTTTACAAACCGTGTAATTTGAGCTCAAAGGCAAATTTGAACCCGTTCCTTGTAAAATTTAATTGTTGCTTTAATCTGTCAGTGAGTAGTTTTCCATGCATGTGAAAAGAAAAAGTGTAGCACAGAAAGGGAGGGAGCATTATGAATTGAACGCCCGTATGCAAAATGTACATGTATGTAACTGGAATCAGAAAATCGACTTTCGTCACATTAAAAACTTATTCCAAGTTTCATTAATTCTTCTCACTTTGGATGTTGCATAAACTGATTATGCATAAGTCTGCATGATCCTTCAAACTTACCCCAAGCTCTACTTTTGATCCTTCTCCTAGAATATCGGAGTAATAACCTCTTTGTCGTATCGTAGGATAACTTAATCCTCCCGAAGAAGGCGACTTCGGAGTCCCAGGCGAAGTTCGTCTGCCATTTCTGGAGCTTCCTTGCCTGTTGGCGCTCATAATGACTCAATTTGTTCAGTGACCCTCACTTTGTCCTCGAATTTTCTTCCAAGAAGAAGAAAATACTCAAAAGAGAACACAGTTGCAGATTTTGACAAATCTAATAACACTTCAGCGTACAATTAGCCGCCATATTGTTTCGTAAAACTTTTTATTGCAAGTTCCTATGACAACAAATGTTGGCGGGATGGTTCAACAACTTCGGATAACTTCGGTCCTTTTTTCCGAACTTTTCCGATAACACCAATACAAAGGCCCGGATGTACAGATTTTCAAGATGGCGGCCAGAGAGGGTTTGCGTTTAGGTCAAGCTCTTCTTCGCCGTGCGGCATTTAGACCACAGACTTTGATAGGGATTAGAAAAGGTAATTTTTTGATGACTTATCACACAATTGGTCTGATTTGGTTTATGGCTTATGCCAGAATTTCCTGAATTTTCACTTGAAATAAACACATTTGTTCATATAAATATATATGTATATACATTGCAGGCGTGTCAACAGGACATCATTTAAACTTAAAATAATGAAGCGTAGATCGGATCACCGGGAGATGATCACAAATCTATTCTTTCGGTTTTCAAACAACTTCAAGGCTCGTATGTCGTTATCTACGTGGAAAGTTTCTACGTCGTCAATATTGTTTTGTCGGATCCGGAGCAACGATCAAATATAGGATCGCTTTTATATAAAGATGTATCACTGTTATTTCTGCTTTGCTTCCCAGCAAAGAGATTAGTGGAGATAAGCGTCGACATAAGATTTAGGAGTAGTTTACGTGAAGAGAAGTTATGGACTATGATGATGCTTTGGTGTTACAGTCTTGCATGTAGTTTGGAAGAAAACTTATTCTAAAAGAGCCTTGCATATCCTTTACATGAAGATTTGTAGTTTGCCAGTTCTCGTTAAATAGACCAATGTTGACAGTTTAAAACTTAGTTTTACTCAACAGAGGTCACCCTGCAGCTCTGTGGAGTAAACAAACTATCAAATTTGTGAGACTTACAGCAAATGATCTTTTGCTGTTTTTAAATGTAAATATTGGTCCTTGAGATGAGATGAAATTTTTACCTCCATCTCACATAATTTACTTCATCAACTATTTTTGAAAGTTCTAGCCATTCTATTCATACTCTTGTCAAGCAGACAACTGAGTTGACTAGATAATTGCCTTAAGTCTTGGAATGCATCAAAAGCTTGAGAATTTGATTAGTTTGTTAATCATTTTCGGTGAAAAAAGAAAAGTTTCCTTCCTATTTATCTATTCATTTATGACCTACTTTCCATTGTGCAGCCAGCGATGATCACATAAAGTATCCCATCCCAACTCCGGAGAATGATTGGAAAAATTTTCATCGTCCATGGCCAGATGATGGGTATGCCCTGGGGGATTATCCTAACCTCCCAGAGATTTGCAATCAGAGAAGACAACATTTAGGATGGTGGGATGTTCAAGAACGTAGAAACTACAATGAGCCAGTGAGTGTCTTGACACTAGTACAAAGGATACCATAATCATGTTGTTTTAACCTCTGTCAGTGCTATTTAACATGGTATATGTAGTTTTTGGTAGTGCTTTGTAATTCTTGTTGTAACTTAAAATTTATTCTTCAATGGTGGACACATGTAATCTTAAAATAAAATTTATATCCATATAGATGTATTCCTTGTTATATTTCGTTTTTCGCTTTCGTTCTAAATTGTTAATCTTCCTTTAAAATTCTTCAATGGAAGAAAGGGATGTGAAAAAAGGGGTGGGATGAATTTGAATAACAACTGTACAGATGGAGTGGTACTGCCACAATAGCTTGTCAATATATAAAATAATACTACAAATGAAAATGAAAAACTTATGGAAAAGATTTCTGATAATGTAAACCTTGGGTCATGTATGTAACTGTTACTCCTTTTGGATTGTTGAACTGGTTTGAACCCTTAAGTTGAGAAGATTTTTCAAGTTATTAAATGTTTCTCTTAATTTCCATAGATACATTTGGATGAAGATGCACTTAATGTTTGGGTGTGGAGTGAGGTGACATGTAATGACAGATACACACCGTAAGTATGGTCTCAGTAATTTTCCAGTGCTTAAAGCTGTAAATTGACTTCCAGAACCATTGAGGGGTTTCAGGGGTTTTGAAGGGGTGTTACAGCTGTATTTGTTGCCTCATACCATTGAAATGAAGGGTTGTATTAAGGATTTTGGTACCTGGGATTATCAGTCATTTGTTTACATTGATGAAACAAATCATTAAATTTCTTGTTCCTAATAAAAATCTTCAGGGGTGAAATTCTGATGCAGTTGGGTATTGCCACAGCCACTCTTTGCTTTGTTGGATACCTCTCTTACCTCTATGATCAAACAGACAGAAACCCTGCGGTAAGAGGCTATTGTAATCACATGATTTTGGTGTGGTTTAAAATGCTTTTTAATTTTATTTAATTGCTTTTGCTCAAGGGTTATACCTAGAGTTCTAAACCAAAAGATTAAATATTTGAAAGTAATCACAATCAACAAGTACAATAGGTTAGACAAGAGGTACACTCCAGAAATACTGGCAATTTTATTTTATATTTTTGCAATTAAAAATATATATTTATATATACATATCTATGAGACTGATTGGAACACTTTAGTTTATCCTGAACTAGTTTGTGGAACAAACTCTTGATCTTTTTACCCAAGAGGGTGACCAACATCTAATTTCTTCGTACTAAATCACCCTGGAAATACACACAGAGAACAAGGTAAATGGTCTCCAATTAAGAAGCTCATAAGTTTTAAAACAAATTTCCCTTGTCATTACCATAGAAAATATGTTGAGAACAGCATGGAGGGTGGAAAGGGTTAAAAGCATCACTCACTATTTTTTCACCCTTATGGAAAGGCAAAGTCTGAAATTTCACAGTCTGATATTTTTAAGATCTTAAAGCATTTGGACAGTTTGTCTGCAGTGTGTATGTTGTGGTTCAAATGTTTCCTTGGTTTACACATTTTAAAACCAGTTTAATTTTTTGTAATTTCCTTTCTTCTCAAATTATGCTGATTTATGAAAGCAATTGAAAACTCAAATTAGCTGGAAAAATTTAGAACCAAAGAAATATTTGAATCAAAACATTTACATACATAGGTGCAAGTGATTTTCTTTGAAGGATTATCTCAGATTCATTCTGTTCGTGTATGTGTGTGGACAATCTTACTACAGTCACAAATTTCTCTCTATTGGCTGCAGATTATCACTGCACATGGATTTAGATGATAGTAGTAACCCTAACTTAAAATAGTTCTGTTTGATAATTTTGGAATATTTTATTTTTCAGGTTCCAAAGGAATACCCTTTTTACAATCTGTACCTTGAGCGAGGAGGGGACCCAGATAAAGACCCAAGTGAGGAAGTCTTGCATCCAGACCAGAGAGTCATTCCACGTAATCTGTATGGATCTTAATGCATTTTCACTGGTCTCTAAACAGTTCTGATCTCAAATCCATCAAAATGTAATTCATGTTATCTTCAGTGTTTTTTTCCCTTGCATTTTGTGTACAAGAGTGTGAAGAATGTGTCTTTATTGCAGATGTATATTGCATTAAATTTTTATATATTGTATGAAAAAGATTGTTCTTTGGGTACTTGGTAGTTTTGTTAATGTAAATAATATATTTTAACTCTTTCATTCCCAAGATCTCGGTAGTAATTTTCCTTACTGTATACCATACAATTCTTTTCATGTGAGTTTGAGGAACTTGGTTTTAGACGAAAGTTTGAGGAATTTGGTTTTAGATCAACTAATAAACCCCCAATTAATATATTTCTTTATTCTCATCACTTGTCTGCTTATGTTACATTGATATTGGAAGGAGAAATTCTGTCTTGGTCACTTATGTGAGGTAAAAAGTTAAAGGGACTGGAGGATTATGGTTTATGTCGTATGTACAACACTTTCACCCTGATAGAAAATGAAATTCAGTATTTCTGTCAAGGTATTATCATTTGCAAATTTCAAATTCATTCAAACCGTTTGCCAGGGATTGTGAAAGAAAAATAGGTAAAAATTGGAAAGCAAAACAAACAAACAAAAAGAATATCATAAACACTCAGCATTTCCTAAAATTTAAGGAAAATTTATATGAATGAGACCTACTTCAATTCAAGCTCTCGAGCGGCAGAACGTATTTGAAATGAAAAACTTTACTTCTCTCCAGATATCTCGCTTTAAAAAACTGTATATGAATGGATCCAATGCCGAGTTGCATATGAATAGTAGCCTCTGTATCCTCACTAAATCCGTTGGAATGTGATTGTTCCAATGAAATGTAATGCAGAGGAGTCGGGCGATGTCAATCGCGTAAGATATGGAAAAGATGGCCACTATGATTCCAAGAGCTTTGGAAAAGGTGCTTGCTTTACCTTGTGATCCACTGGTCTTCATATCATCGAAAGCGAAGCCGTTGAAAATCAACTGGGAGAGAAGAATTCTCTGACGTCTGTTTTGTCTGGATGTTATATATAATGTCCTTGAACAAGCTGTAACTAATAGGAGGCATGAAGGAAGTTTATACGCGAAGAGCCAGACGGCACAAAAAATGTCCTCAGCAAGGTGCAATTTCAAATAGCACACAACTGTATAGGGCACAAGATGAATAGCAAATGGTATGAGCCACGCTGCTAATAGAAAGAACAAGTGTCGTCCCTTAGCCTTAAAAGTAGCGTACTTCAAGGGAGTAACGATCGCCATATACCGATCAATTGTTAGTGCACAGAGATTTGTCATGGATAAATCGAGGAACAACCATCGTACTGCTTTCGCTACGCACTTTCCACAAAGAGAAGCAGAGCCACAGGCTAGAAAAGGAAAGTATATCAATCCTACACTAAGATCGGCCGCAGCGAGCGAAAATAAAAACCAGTTGATTGTGCTACGAAGGCGCTTTCTTGAAATAATGAGATACATTACCAAACCGTTTCCAAGGACGGCTAATATCGAGAAAATCCCTCCAACAACCCAAAACCAAACAGGACTTGTAAGATCCATCTTATTCATACGACTTCGAAGTAATTTTATTATTCTGATGATGAATCACAATGACTTTATAGAAAAAGACTCCTTCGCGCATGCGAAAAGGAGTCTGAAATTAGGTAACATCATTTTAATGAATTGCTACTCTAAGGTAAATATTGGATTGTGCGTGCTCTGATTGGTCAAATGAGGGGCAACGTCATTTCCATTGATATCACTCTTGACAATGTGTCAAAAAAAATGAAAATGAAAGAAAATGTCGTCGTTCAGATTACCGCCTGAGTATTTATTAAATTAACTTTATTTGTTCTGCCGTGCACTGTGAATAAGGGAATAACATGACTTTTTGAGGGAATATTGTTTATTTGCGCGAAGCGCGAGGGCCGCAAATGACACTACAAGGGCGCAAATAAACAATATTCCCGAAAAAAGTCATGTCATTATCATTATTATCAATAAACAAGGCCAAATGATATCAAGAATGCGAGTTTTAATAATACAAGCTAAGTGAATGACGAATTCAAAGTCACTTCAAATCATCATGTAAGTGTTGATTGAACAAGCTATTAAAGAATCAACTCAGTCCAGTGAACTTATTGAAAATTACCGAAAAAATGCTTAAAATCGTCTATAAATAATAGGCATATCACAAAGTTAACCTTAAAAATGTCCATGCTGGTAACAGTATTTTCCGCCTGACCTTTTGCTTCTAATTTGTCCAAATCTTCTAGCCCCAAATCTGAGTTTTGACTGCTAATTTCTTCCATTACTTCAGTTTTCGCTCGAAGACGATTCCACGACTGAAAAAACTGCAGTTCAAAACCGGAGTTTCGCAAATGAATGGTTTTCCCGCGTCAACACTAGGCTTACTCTAATTGGTTAAAATCTATCGGATGATGAAGCAAGAACCAATCAGCTGTAGGGCTGATAATGCATTAGCAGCCCGCTGTCAGTCTTTTGCGGCCCGCTGAGCGTGTGTTTTGAAGAGGCCGATTTTCTATTTGGCCGCGTATATTGATAATAATGTTTGATAAATAAATGCCGGCCCCTTGGCGAAGTGAAAATCGTCGCACAATTCTCGTCGGACGAACTAGACTGCAATAGTAGATTTTTCGACAATGATCACTTCGGTTCACTAACTATTTTGAAGATGAATGACTATTCTATTCTGAAGACGGGTCAAATTTAGTGCGCTTTCAGTTTCAGTTTCGTAGATTCTAATGTTAATTTACCAGGTAGTTCTTGAGTAACAAGAGCTACCATAACAGTCATAAAGCTTAGTTATCGTTGTCATCATCACCACTTTAATACACAATTCAAAATGCAAATCTTCAAAATAACACACACAAAGAAATTGTGTTTTAAAGTACAGTTAAAGAAATGTTGTGTTATAGTACAGATGAGTTTCATTACTAAAAGCTTCATTGACGTTCATTACAATGTATTTTGGGCAATTCTTAGTGAAGTTAAGTGTCAAGCCACCGGTTGAAAACATGTCAGTAATAATACTGCTGAGTTTTCTATAATGATTTCGGATGGAAAGCATTCAATCATGCTATTTATAAACGAAAATTTATGTTTACACTAATGATTCATGCAATACAGGTAAATTTAGGTTTCTGAAAGCAATTTAGGCCCATCAAAGAATTACGAAGTCAATAATAGTGAACATAAGTAATCTAAAGCCATCTAAACAAGAGTTTGAGCTCACATCGAATGTCGTGCTTAAGGAAACTGTAAACGAATGGATTGCTCGCGGAATTACATATGAGCAGTATCCTCTGCACATACACCAAATTCCATGGAATATGATTGATGCATTTAAATGAAAAACAGAGAAGACGAGCCATGTCAATGGCGTAACAAGTAAGAAAGACGGCGACTATGATTCCAAGAGCTTTGGAGAAAGCGGTTGCTCGACTCTGTGATCTGTCGCACTTTGAGTCATCAAAAGAAAAGCCATTGAACTTAAGCTGAGAGAGACGAATACTAAAGCGTTTCTTCTGCCTGTGTGCCACGTATAAAGTTCTAAAACAAACTGTAAACAATAGGAGATAGAGCGGAAGTTTGAAAGCGAATAATACAACCGCAAAAAATATGTTAAGTGAAGTATACATCTCGGTACAGTACATCCACGTAAATGGCACAAAATGAACGACAAAAGGTAAAGTCCATGCTGCTGATATAAAAAACACGTGGCGTCTTTTAACCTTAAGCTTTACATACTTTAGTGGAGTAACAATCGCCATGTACCGATCAACTGTTAGCGCACAGAGGTTAGTCATGGATAAATTGAGGAACAACCATCGTACCGCCGTTGTTACACACTTGCTACAAACGGACGCAGACTCACAAGCCATACTTGGAAGGTAAGTTAATCCTACACTAAGATCAGCTGCAGCAAGAGAGAATAAGAACCAATTTATTGTGCTACGAAGCCGCTTCCTTGAAATAACGAGATACATCACCAAACTGTTTCCAAGGACAGTTAATATCGAGAAAAATCCGCCAAAAACCCAAAACAAAACGTCTCCAACAGACTCCATGATACTTTTAGTAAGATTTATAAAATGATAACTTCAGTGTAATGCTTGGTCTGAAATGGTGGTTCTACATAGAAGTACCAAGAGGGAATTCGGTGACGTGCCTCTAATGACATTAATGGCGCGTCCGGCTATAATCACATTGTTTTTAATCAAGCGTCATTTTTTTATCTCCATGCATATGGCACATTTCTAAGAAATTCATATTCCCCCACTAGAAGACCAAGCACTTAGCTGTTGGAAATTTCCGTGATAAATGACAAAATAGAGATAGACAAGTCCAAATATTGATCATCCAAAACTTTGGGAAGTAATGATCAATAGAATCAGCCAGTTGCTTCACTGGAAATGCTTGAAAGAAACATAACTCTTCATGTTTGATTTGTTGATGGGTAAAGAACAGCAGTGGTTTTTTTTTTCAGGAAAAAAGCCTTTAAATTTCTTTCTTCTTACACTAAAATAACTTTCCCTTCTTATCGCTTCGCATAAATAATTAATTCATGAATCCACTGCGTGCAAAAAGTGGAAGAAGATCCTGCGCGATAACTTCATTTGAGCACGGGAAGTTTTCTTGAGAGCAGATTTGCAAGTTTCTGTCTTTGATGGAGCTATGATGAAGAAAGAGGACCTCCGTAAATGAACGATCGCGCAAAAATTAAGTCTTTAAGTTTCAATTCATGATGAGTATATAAAATTGAAAAAAAAACTGATTCCCTCACCGCTATGGCGGATTATCGGTATTCTAAAATCCCATTCACCGCACTTCATAAGAGAAAATTGAATTGACAGCATTTAACATACACCTTTGATGGTAAAATACATGTTGATTGAAAATCCTCCAAAGGGTAGACGGGAAAAAGTTTTAAATCTAACCTAACCCCTTACCCTCTTATGGCTATTTAAGCATGATCAGTGTAGTTCAAGCGATCCCCATTGTAGTATTCAGACATGTATGTTGAACAACTGTTTAGAAATCTCATGAAAGAAGTCGAATGTCTACAGTGTTTAGAAACAGTCGAAAATCCCAAAATCTTCATCTCAACCGATTGACGGATATCTTAGCTCTGAGAGACGGCAGTGCAGAGGCTCAGGGATGCAGCAGCTTCGAAGAACACGATACCATAACTTGTTATTGTTTTGTTTGCTGGAGCTTTGTTTGTGCAGCTTGTTTTGAGGCTCATCAGCGCCTCAAGGCCACAAGAGGTCACCGCAATGTTTTGGTCGATAATTTGCAAGCACATAATGCGGAGGAGTTAATACACAGGCCCGTGTCCTGAGAAATATCACGATAATGAATCGCTTGAATATTATTGTCAAAACTGCAACGTTTGTATTTGCAACAAGTGCAGTAAAGTGGGTTATAATCGACACACGATGGTAAACTTACAGTAAGTCGGCGAAGAACAAAAGCTGCATCTGTCGCAATTGTTTACCAGGGTCAGGGCTCAACTTTATTTTATTGAAACAAAGATAATAAAACAAACTGAAGTGATGAAGAAAAACGAAGAAGAAATCCGCGCTGCCAAGAGATTGGTGACCAAAACTGTGGAAGAAGTTACTCGCATTGCGAGGGAACATGAAACCGCCATTCATACCAAGCTAGCGGAAATCAAACCACCCAAAAAAAGAATCACGTAGAAAAAACAGAAAACTTTCGATTGTTCGCTACCGAGCTAAGAGGTGCTGTTGAAAATGGCGAATGAATTGTTCAAAGAAACATCAGCCCTGAAATTCTGCAGGCAGGATATGCTGCTTCTGGTCGCTGTGAGGAACTTTTAACCACGGATGATACAAAATTTTTTAAACCAAAACATTTCAATTATCGTGTAATCCAGAAAAAATTGATTCTCTTAAAAATTTAGTTCCGGGTCGAGTGTTTGGAAGAAGTGCAACTAGGAACCAAAACTAAATTTACAGTGACTAGATTCAAAGGGAAATCAGTTTTATGATGAACAAGACCAAGTGAACGTAAAAATCCGCTCCCACCAGATGAAGATGAAAAGAAGAAAATCGAAGATTACAAAATGGAAAAAATGGAATCTAAGAAGTCCGTTACCAGCCCAAGAATGTTGGCCTATGTGAAATTTCAGTAGGTTGAATTGAAGCCGCCGACTGGTAGTCCGTGGAGAGTCCAAATGACTGGTCATCAGTATGAAGCTCTTCATTCGTTATAATTACGTGAGAAAGCTTTGCAAGAGTTAAATGGATCATCGAGAATTACAATAAGTAGAGGAAAAGGGAACATTTCCATGGCAAGATTTTCTGACAAGCGAGTCTAATTGTTTAATTCTGAGTGGAAATATCTGAACTGAGAACAACAGGAGAAAAGGGGCCTGGAGATGAGAGAATGGAAGAATCAAAGTCTGTGGCGTTCACATTTCTTAGTGGCGTGGTAATCATTCGTGGAGAGCCTTTAGAACGATAAAATGTTCCTGTTTACTGTAAATAGTCATTTTCTAAGACACACCAGTCAGCACCTGGTTGATTCACTCGGTGTGTCTATTCGAACGAATGATCACATGATCGTGTGTGACTGGGCTGACTTTTCAGAGTCACAATCATCTTCCCTGAGGGCAAAGAATTGCTACAATCCTTCAGTGCTCTAAACTGTGAAACGCTTCCATGGCTTGCTATTTATCATCAGGAAAGATAGTGTTTTTTTTCTTGCTATCATTAATTTTGGTAGAAATTGCACTGAAATGTATTTTAGGATGATCTACGTATCCCAAGTTTATAATTATGGCCTTCTGTTGATAGTTTCTTCATCGGTTTCGCAGAAAGGTCTTAGTCAATAAATAGTTCTCCTATGTCAAGAGAAAATAATAGGACAGAGAGGGGGTTGCTTTTATAGATTGTGCAAGTAAAATATGCTGATTATGCTAGTAGCAGAGCTCGTTTATTTCCTGATAGCATCCGATTATTCTTGTTAGCTGTATGTATGGTTTTTCAAGCCTGCTTATTTTTCGCATTGGCCTGAACTGCTTTGAG